CAGCAGCATTCATATAAATGCTGCGTGCTTGTGTGTCAGAACAATCCACAGAGCATGGTGTTTTTGTGTGTATGCACGCATGACTGTTCATTTGTACCTTTGGGATTTGTGAAAGATGAGATGTTTTGGGATTAGTCTGTACATGTGTTTGACTACAGGGGCATTATTATTATTTTTCAAATAGTCAATGTTTCCAACAAGATGTTTTTTTCAGTATCTACCATTGACTTTTTTCACCAAGGATATTTGGAGATGCTGAGCATGCTCCTTAGTAACTACATTTAAATAAGGGATACCTTTAGGAATTCTACACTAAAATGTCTTTATACTATTTTAGCAAATCATTGCAAGAATGTACATACTGTATATGTTTTTATTGTTTTAAATGTTTTTACCTTCTTTATTACATCCTCTTTACTATATAAACAAGATGGTCATTTGTCGTTTAGCACTTGCTATCCCAACGTCCAGCAGCACATGTGTATCCATTGCTCCTGATAAATAGATGTTTTTTGAGGCATCCAAGATTGGATTAGGATCTCAGTTTAATTTCACCGTGCATTTTGAAAGTAAATTCTCTTTTCATATCGACTTGCTTGCCCGTAAATCACATTGTGGATAAAAGAAAAAAGATATTGTGAAAGATTCAAGACAAAAACAAAATCAAAAGCTCACCTCACAGACAAATGTAATCTAAGAAAGATGGAAAAAGTTACGGATGACATCAAAGTGATTTTTTTTTTACATCAAACTTTTAAGCATGCTGGTTTTTGTGATTCATTTTACAGTTGGGCTATTTTGCAGCGTGGCTTCCTTTGTATAAGCTGAATATTTTACCCTTTCCTTTGCATAAAATGCCCTGATGGTTATTTATTATAATTGGAATAGGCAGTTACATTTCAGCCCCACGGGGGGTGAACTCATCCAATATCTCTCAAGAAAATCACCAGCTAATGCATAAAGTGACAGCATTGTTTCACAGCATTCTCAGGCAGAGTCATTAAATAAATTAAATATATTTTTCTTCTTTCACATAATATTTAGCTGTGAATAAGCAGATGTTGACACACATACACAATCAGTTTCCCATGCAGCTAGATTACTTCACAAAGTTTTTTTAGTACTTTTAGAAAGCATTTTTAGATTGAGAGGCTGCTTGCTGACAAATCTAATTACCATAAAGGCAGGTGGACTGTTATTAAAATAAAAAACCTGCACTTGATACCTGACACAGTGTCTTTGGGCTAGTGTACACGAGCTCATGAGTGTTTCCCTACACATCTTTGCTGATATGACTGTGTATGCAAGAGTGCTGTAGACTCGAAGGTGTACGTATCGGTGCACTTGATTTTTGTGTTGGTTCACGTGTCAGTGTGTGTGCGTTCTCTCTCCTGAAAATAAAGTGAGTAAATTAAGCCAGTTTTTAGTGCCTGAAGCATGTTGATTCTCTTCACTCTGAATGAGTGGGTCTCTCCTTAATTGTGCCTCCATGAAAAACCTCCTCTTGTTGTGTGTGGAAATGCTTGTGGCCATCAGCCTGTACCATGACGTATTGACTAAAGTATAATCCTGTGACTTTGAACCTCTTTCAAACTTTTATCACTGTCAGTGTAAAACTATGTATAGGGTTGTGTTAATGTATGGGTCTATATTTGGTAGATGTTTTAAAGTGGAATGCCTTACAGCCAGACATGTTCCATGCACACACAAGACCTTTATCTCTTTCGTCTGCACTGAGATAAAAAGGTCGCACAACACTTTTATCTCATGATACATCAATTTTTAACTCTTTATCTTTGTCGTAGAAAAGAAAAGAGTATCAAGAACCATGTATAAAATAGAGCCTACCTGATATATTGGCCTATATTAAAAGCTGCTTTTAGGTTATATCACATGCACAGACAATGCACAATAATCAGCATCACTGCAAATGTGTCAGTGTCCATGTTGGGTCCATGTTTAATATATGTAGAATCAATGTTGCCAACACATAGTTTGTCCACCAGAGAGCACTGACAAATTTACTTTTTTACCTAAAATTACCGGATCAATACAGATCTTGTTCAGATTTCTTTAGTTACCAAGTTGGTAATATTTTATGGGTCATACCTCAGAAAAACTTTTCTCCTGGAATGAACATAATGGAATACAGCACTCATAATTGTACACATCTAGTTAATTTATTATACTGCTAGCGTAACCTAAAGAGTCGCTGAGTCAGCGCACAGCTGGTCACCTGAACATGAATGAAATGGGAATTTGTTTTACAGATACAGGTCAACCAGTAAAAAGTTTAAAGGTTCAGTGTTTAAAGTTTTAGCAGTATCTAGTGCTGAAGGTTGTGAATTGCAACCAGCGGCTCACAGTGCATTCACGTGCTGCTCAGATGGTCCCATTTCCCGAGTTGTGAAGTCATTCTTCCGACTTAAGGGTGTGAATATTTGCTTTAAAATCGGAATGTCGAATCAACATGGACACTACTGCAAAGATGTGTTGGATTAGCATTATAGAGCATATAAACAACACGTAGACATCTAGTACAAATGACATGTTTACAAAATATGTATATGCAATATGTGATTTTGCACAAATGAACGTTCTGTATACTTCTATATGTCTATATGTACACTTTATTTCTCTTTTTGCAATAAAGATTTAAAGAGGAAATGCATCAGTCACCGCTCACCCATCCCTTTCCAAGTGGAGGAGAAGCTACGCTCAAAATGCTCTGTTGGTTCTTAATACGCGTGGGCTTCCATTCTTCTTTTCTTACTTCTAAACCAGTCGACTACTACTACTACACTACTACTACTACTACTACTACTACAACTATTGTTACTTGTTGTTCTTCTTTGTACGTATTCAGCGCAGTGATGAAACGCACTCTGTAGAGCAGTTTGTCTGTTTGGGCTACTGTAGAAACATGGCGGTGTCCATGTAAGAGGACCCGCGGCGTATGTAGATAGAAATGGCTCATTCTAAGGTAATGAAAACATAACGGTTCATTGTGTATGCTCTTTATACACCACTGAAAACATGGTTATGTATGATGATGATGATATTGCATTTCTGTCAAGATTACACACTGAACCTTTTAAAATGAGTTTTTCTTTCTAGAATGTCTCTTTTTTCCTCTTAAGTTGAACTAAAACACATTTTTCCAGGTTCCGTTTTTAGCAAAAAAAACAAATGTCAACTGATGTATTGCCAATGGATTTTATTGGCCTAAAATATTCAGTATTGGTCAGACTTGAGTATGAAACACAATATCATGACCACGATTTATCTTGAGAGCTGTTTTCTGTCTTTCATGTTACAGGAAGTGAGCGAAACATCCACGTAGTGCCTATTTGTCATCATCATGTCTTTTAGGCATGCATGCGAGCCGTCTACTGAAGCTAGCCGAAGGGACATGGCTTTAGCTAATGGCTGTGAACAAGATGGTTCCAGTTGGCTTTTCTCACTCCTTCATCATCTGCATGCTTCTCATTTTGTTTGGTGAATTCACCGGTTAAACGGCTCGTGTCGTTTCAGACAGCAGCTGCACGCTTGAGGGGAGGTTTCAAAGTAGAACATTTTCCATCCCTTCAGCGTAGAGCAGGCGGCATTGGGAGTCAATTCCTGCAAGGCCAAAGCCATTTTTAAAAGCATTAGCGGCACTGTCTGAAGCGAGGCATGCTGTAGATTGTAACATATGACCGTCTATATTTCCCCTATGGGTCTTTTATGATGTACTGTACGTGTCAACATTCTTTATATGAGTGTTTCTGTTTACCATACACATGTTATTCGACTTTTTGTCTTGATATGAAGTGTGTGCTGAAGTGTCAAAGATCTTGAAGTGCAACTGTATGAGACATCTTCAGTATGTGAGCAGGAAGTCTGGAATAACGAGTATTCATTGATTTAAAAACCACAACATTTCATTTTCCCTCAATAAGACAAACTTAAAAGGAACCATGATTCACACACACTGGGATTCTCTCCGCTTCTCATTTATGTGCAAATACACTGATGTTTCAATGTTTCCACCCTAAAGGATCAAAAAAAACAAAAAACAGAGCCAGTTAGACATGATAAGAAGACTTCCATCTTAGCTCTCACAAAAGGCGCCAGCTGAGAGCAATAGCCGTCTTCACCAACATGAGATGCATTGTTGTGATAAAAGAGGCTCTTGAATATTAACTACACAGGCTCATCTGTGAGACTTTTTTCTCCTTATGTGTGGTCTTCTGCCCACAAATACATAGGCATCAACATGCTAAAACCCAAGGGAAAAGTTCGTAAAATTACTCCCAGGACACATGAACGCACACATAAGCCACTGATATAAGTGCTTTTCAGCTTGGTATAACCAGCTGTCCCCATACTTCTGTGATGAAACATGATGTTTGATTGTGTCAAAACTCAATACATTCAAATAGCCACATTAAAAGCTAACTTCCACTCTGAACCGTCTTGTCTGTACGCCAGTCTGCTTGAAGGATCACATCATCCACATCAGTTTTTCCTCTGTGCAGCTTTTATTTCAGTGCGTCCCTGTTCTCTCTTCTCTGCTCAATAGAGAGAGGATTACAGCGGCATCACTCAAACTATGTCTCTACTGAAATCCATCTATCAACTCTGTCCCTGAGCAATATATCTGTATTCCTCCCAAGTGGGGAGATCAAATATTTCGTATTGCGCAGTGATATCCAGCATCCAGAGGTTTTTAGCCAGTTCTACATTTTTTTCCCCTTCTAAAGCCAATTATTTTACATCAGATCAAAGGCATTTATTTACCATTTACAGAGGATAAGCTGATGGTAGTGGGACTCTTGAACAGATGTGTTTCCATGTTGGCACACAAACAACTACACTCATGTACTATGAAAACACATTTTCATGCAACACAAACACAATCATTGACTGCTTTGAATTCCTGAAACTTAATTTATACCAACTCCTTCTCTCTCTTTTTCTCTTCTCCCACCTTTCTACTTCTTCTCACTCCTTCACAGGTGTGAGTGGACAGGAGTAGTGAGGTTTCTTCCCAGCATGCCACCAGTACAGCAGCATTACAGGGCCACTGTGCCCACAACAGGCTGGATCCTGTCTTTGGCGGTGTTTCTTGCTCTTCAGGTAAAATTTGTTCCGACAGATAGCCCCTTTTTTATCCCTTTTTTTTGCAGAGTAGGGCTGCGAAGATTTTTTTTTTTCCATATTCATTATTTATTTCCAATCTATTATTTTTGGCAGCCATGTTAATCTCTTGACTCTGGGCACAAATCCACTCAAATTCTATGCAGGCAAGTTTTAGTATCAATCAAAGTGTTAATTTAGATTTACCTGCATTATTTTTATGTTTGCTTTTAATGTTTTAGATTGTTGTTTTCCTGAACATTTGTTGTACATACTAGTCTTTCTTAAAGTTATTAAGAGACCAAGTGGTAAAATTGAACATACATTAAGCCCCGGCCGCCTCTTGAGATACTGTTGCTACATCTGTCAAGCTTTCCATACCCGCATATACAAACATGCAGCCAGCAGTGATAATGGTGCCATTTATCACTCAAAATACTCAGTAAACAATAGGTTCTGCTGGCAGACAGATGTAGACAAAAGCAGTCTTCTCTTTTCAAACAAGTGACCGTCAATTTTGTCGGCTAAAATGACGACTGTGGCTGTGACATTTTATCAGCTGTAGCTAGCTAGCTAATTAATGTAACATTAGCGGCATAAGTTGGCTGAAAATGCTGTCTCTTAGGCTAGCTGTCAAGATGAGGACTAACCGATGTGTTTGGTAAATGTAACCTTACGGTAGATTGAGTAACGTTGGCTGGGGTTGCTAGAGTGTAAACCTCCCCAAATGCAATAAAAAGTAAGACAGAGCTGCTAACGGTGCGCTAATATCCAGGACCTGCTTCCACATAGTGAAGAAATACTACATGTAGATGTGTTATTCGTCAACACTAAAGGATGGAACTAATGCTACCACTGTAGGTAGAAAGCTACATGCTAATATTTGGTACCTATATTTGAGAAGATAAACACATTAAAAGACAAAAAAAGACAAACTCTTTAAATGCAGGGAATCATTTTTACTACAGCCCCAAGCACATCTCTTCAACATGTGGAGAAATCCTTATCTAGGCAGACCTGCTGTGCCTGATTACGGTTGCTACGCTATGACTGGACAATTGCTGTTCAGGGAATGGTCAATTGTGCACAGGTAGTGCTAGTAATCATATACTAATCACTAAGAATGTTCTCAGTGAAACATTTTCAGCAAAATGTCATAAATACAGTACTCAGCTGATTCCATGGTGTCAGCTTGTGGCTATATTTTCTGCTGATCCTTCTTTACCCCTTGAAATTTGACTCTCTTTATCTAATGTTAGAAATGATCTGCACTTTCTGCCAGACAAAAGAAACACAGAAACCACAATCTGAAAATACTCCAAATGTCACCACATTTTTTTGCAAATGACCTTTATTTTGAATGTGAAAATAGTTTTGTCTGCGTTGCAGCCGGTGAGAAAATCCTTCATGTACAGTATATTAGCGTCATCTAGTTTTGTGTCCCCCTGGCTTCTTTTCTTAGTCTTCACTTCATCATTCTGTAAACACAAGATATAAAGGACAAAAACAACAGGGAACCCCTGAGTCCAAACTACGTGCAGTGTTTTTTAAAATCATGTTGTCTCTCTCTCCAGGGTGCTGCTCATGCTGCTCCATCAGGAGACAACAAGCTGGTTCGCACCACCAGAGTGAGGAGACAGACCCCAGGGGGGGATCAGCCCCCTTCCACTTCCTCAGCCAACCAGACCCTGCGGGACCAACCCGTGGTTTTTAACCATGTCTACAACATCAATGTACCCTTGGAGTCTCTGTGCTCTGTCGACCTGGATGCCTCCGCACCATCTGACCCAGGTGATGGTGAGGTCCTCTGATTGATCGAGTGTTTGTGTTTAAACTCACTGTAGCTGTTACGTCCCCGGCTTGTCTAGGGGTGTGGGACGAACAAAAGATAAATAAACTGGGTGTAAAAACCAAGGAAGGACTCAAAACACATGTCAAGTTAATATATATATATTCTTAAATGAAAAATAACAAAAGGCGTTTAATCAACGAGAGACGATCTCTGCCCACACGAGAGATGATGCAAGTTATATCAAGTAACTAAATAACATAGGTTGCAACATAATAGGCCACACGGTCTCCACGGCTCCACCGCGCTGGGGAAGCACACATGGAGGTTGCCTGCCGCTCACCACACCGGCTTCCACTGATCGGGAATGCCAAGCTGACGACCGCCTCCACGGGGTCACCGACCTCGCGGCGCGAGAAGTTGCCAGCGGCACCCCGCCGTTCACATCCTACGAGTCACACAGTAAATTGCACAATAACCACACAGTAAGCCACACAGATGGTTGCGAGTCCAAGGAAGGGTGGGTGAGTGAGTGAGTGAGTGAGTGAGTGAGAGATGAGTGAGAAGTGAGAAACGAGAACAAGAGTACTCCACTGGCTTTGCTTATGTGGCCCACTAATTGCCGCTGATCAGCCATAGCTGCGAATTCAGCCCAGCGTCACACTAAGGGTACAGGTACACACCTGCAAGAGAGACGGACACACCCACAGCAACACAAACACAGCCCACAGACCACGCGGGTCGTAACAGTAGCCATCTTAGCTGTTCACCTGGTGGCACCTTCTCTTCACATTGAGACACACAATCATGTGTCATGTTTTTTAAGACCCTCTCTCTCTGATGCACAGGTTCTCGTGCTGAGCTGGGGTCAAGACCTTCTGTGGAGGGTCCAATGGACCCAACCGGACCAACAGAATACACTGAGCAGACACTGGATGCTGACAGCCAGGTTGGTGTTTTTTTTAGCAATATTTTATTTTTCTTTAATTAGTAGTAAATCCTAGAGAGAGAGTTTTTTTTGAGGGATTTAGACATTTAGACTGTTTCATGTGGCATCAGAAAGGACAGCATCTGTTACATCACACTTACTCATTTACATACTGATATATATGGGGATGTGTTGTTTTATACAGAGTAAATTAAAGTGATAACCAAAACAAAAGTACTCTGTCCTTTGAGTGCCAAACTTTCACACACTGTTAAAGATGGCTTTAGAAAGGCTCATACAACATACATGACAAACTCACAACAGTCCTCCATTGTCCACCCACATGTTGTCATATTTTAGCCCAGATTTAGTATTTAGTACACCACTTCTCTCTCACTTCTCACAAGGGACCCTGTTGAGCTTATGTTGCACACATTAGAGTGCCTGCCTTTTGCTCATGCTGTTAGGGAGAGGTGGATAATGTGGGGTGAGGGGTACATGGTTTTACACCATGAAAACTGACTACAGCCTCAGTACTCCCTGAGGAAAAAAAAACTATAAACCTTTTTTCTGACACAGGGCTACAGGGGTATGTTTGATACTTGAAAGATGGATTTGGGGTGAAGTATCAGCCATAATTGTGGAGTTAATTGCTCTAATAGTCTCCTAATTAATACCTTTAGGTGGCATTATGCACTTCTTAACCAAACTGTCCCTTTCTTCAGGTAACATTCACTCACCGCATTAACATCCCAAAAGCTGCATGTGGTTGTCCGGCAACAGCCACAATCCAGCAGCTCGCCACCAGGGTGGAGATGTTGGAGAGGGAAGTTTCCCTGCTCAGAGCTCAGTGTGGATCTGGATGCTGTGGGGAGAGCTCAGCCATGGGTGAGTGCTGTTTAACAATGACAACAAAGTATATCGACAAAGCTAGTGGAAGTTGTTGGGTTTTTTTTGTTTTTTTTTATTTAAATAAGCTTTTTAACCTACAGTATATACGCAAAACAAACAACAACTTTTGAAACCAAAGATATGAAGACCTGCAAGGAAAACATTCAAATGAGCCTGTCTCCTATCATATATGGCAAAAGAAAAAACACTGTTTATACAATGAATGAAGAGGAGACAGACTTCAACAGAATATTGATGCTGGAGGGCAGCTTTTTTTTTCCTGCTGCACAGTCTCTGTCTAAAAGGTGTGGAGAAACCTTTGCTACTGGTAAGAATTGTGTTCACTATTCGGGAGATGCTGCCATTATAATATGAGAGGGCTAGAAGGACTAGAATGGATAGAGTTATAGGATATATTATGGTTAAAGGATCTGCTCTATTGACACCATGACCTCATTCAAATGTTTTCCGAAAACGTTCCATCTCCACGGTGAGAATATGATTATCTCCAGCAGTCACGATCTGAATCTGAATGAGGAAGGACAGTGGCTGGATGGAAATACAGTCATTGGAAAATGAAGACGGGGTTTTTGTATTAATGAGCAGCAGACCGCGATCCACCCGGCCAAAACAACCGGACAAGGCGCCACGGCCGGTGCGGTGATTGCTCAGAGGAGAGGAAAGATAGCCAGGAGAGGAGCCATGGATTGGACTTAATTCTGCTCCTAAAGAGCCGGTCTGGACAAAATGGGACTCATATTGACCAAGCAACGGAATTCAGAGACTGTTGTGCCCACATCGTTACAGAGATCTGTCCCATCAACATCCCGATTCAAGCACTTGGCAGATGGTCCATGTTCCGAGCTGTCAGCAGAAGACTCCGGCAAGATGAGAGGAAGTGCCATCGATGATGCTTGATGGACTCTGTTTCCCAGGTGTCAGACTGTTTATTGTGAAGATGAAACTTACATACTATCATCTGGTTGCTGCTGTTTACATTCATCAGAGACAAATTCAAAATCTGTAGAATGTTCGGGGTGTATACGTGTATGTATAAATGTATATAAATAACTCTACTCACTATTTTATATTACCATATTTAATTTACCATTTATATTTTAACATAGGCCTACACTTGATTATATGTTGTGTGTGTGTGTGTAGCATGAAGGAACTACAAATTTCATTTCGTCATGCAGCCTTGTGCTATAAACAACTTTGTACCTTAAAATGCATGAAATGAGACAGCTTTTCATTCATGTCATGACAACTGTTTCTCCCATCAAGGCTGTTAAGGCATGTGAACTAAGGTTGAAGGTTTTCGCATGATTTTAAAATGATTAAATCTTAAGAAAAGATCAATCTTTTCTTGGGATTCCCAGGATTACTAGCACTTTTTATAAAAATTGATCTGCGTACAATTCATCATAACATTACTTTTATTCTGTTCGTATCTGTTAGATTATGTGCTAATATGTTTATTAGCACAGTAATTATCATTCTTCTGCTGCTCTTATGAGATGGAGGTCTGTATGTCTGATTACACCACTTTCGGGGCCATATGTTGCTTTGTTCGTTTCATCTAAAAGAACATTTTGCCACGCAGCTGAACTCTAAACTGGAGATAAGAATTTTATCCAGTTAGATATATTTATCTAATTTTAAGTCGCACTGCCAACACAACAGCTGTTGGCGTGATAGTGTTGAAGAGGTTTGGAGAAGTGTGTTTCAGTGCATACGAAGCACATGCAGACAGACACACAAGCACACAAATGCAAAAAATCTGGGATTTTTCAGGGAAACAGAACCAGATTACAAATCCCATAAACAATTCCTGGCATTCAGTCGTAAGGAGAACATGAAGTTTTGAATGTGTTAATTTCTAAGCTGATATTAAAATAAAAGAACAAGTTATATTACCCCAAAACTAAACTATCCCTTTAGGTTTGATTGTATGGGAACCTTTTCATCTTTGACTCACACGTCATTTTGTGTGAATTCTGTATATAATATATATACCCTTTTTCCCAGGTCGTCTGGACTTTGTCCCAGGCTGCAGTGGCCACGGCAGCTTCAGCTTTGACCTGTGTGGCTGCATCTGTGAGGAAGGCTGGACCGGCAAAAACTGCTCCGAGCCTCGCTGCCAGGATGACTGCTCCGGCCAGGGGGTGTGCGTGGAAGGGGAGTGCGTGTGTGACCGTGACTTTGGTGGTGAGAACTGTTCAGAGCCCCGGTGCCCTTCAGACTGCTCGGGCCGCGGGTTGTGTATCGACGGGGAGTGTGTGTGCGAGGAGTCCTTCACTGGCGAGGACTGCATGGTTGGCAGGTGTCTCAACGACTGCTCGGACCAGGGGCTGTGCATCAATGGGACGTGCCAGTGCCGGCCTGGGTATGTGGGGGAGGACTGTTCGCTGGTCTACTGTGCCAACAACTGTAGCAAGAAGGGAGTCTGCAAGGATGGATTCTGCGCCTGCCAGGATGGCTTTGCTGGAGATGATTGCAACTCTGGTAGGCTATTATTTTTTATCCTTTACGTCCGTTTGATCCTCTTGACTGATGTCAAGTACAAAAAGTAGTTTGTCTGACATTTGTGGTTCAATTCCTAGATGCAGAAACCCTGGGCAAGGAAAATTTTCTCCCTTAACACTTGCTGTCAGTGTGACCAAGATCAAGTAACACGGAGCAGAAATCCAGCTTAACCAGATTTCAGAATGGCTCTGCGACCCTAAGAGAGAATCCTTGGGCAGGAATGAAAGTTAAAATGAAAGCCACAACATTAGATGGAGTGCCTCCATTACTGAGAGTGATTCACTGGACTGTAGGCAAATGTTCTGCTCATGAATTTCTGGCACTATCCCTGAGGTTTATTTGGGTGCAAACATTTAATGCATGCTTCAGATTACAGACCAGTGAGTATCTTTAGAAAAGGAGTTTTGATGTTTCTTTATCTGGTTTACACAGTATGGGAGTAATTCTAAAAAAAACAAAACAAAAAAACACTTGATAAATAATGTAGAAAACTACTTACTGGTAATAAAGTTATGAATAATAATATTGGGAACTTTTATTTAGCACTCGTTTTGGGGACACCACCTGATTTCCGTCCGCCCAAGGTCTTAGGACACCTTGGATATGGTTTTAATAATTACACAATTATTCACTAGCGATCAGTTAGTTAATAATTGCTAATCATTTTGAATCAGTCAGTCTCATATCAAAGTCGTGAATCCTCCGTCCAGTGACAGCACACACACACAGTTCGTGTGATTAAGGTGAATTTATTAACTAACTAAAGTGAATGCAAAGTGAGGTTAAATATATCAAAGACATAAAAACAATGATGATTAAACAACCAGAAGGCAATCAATGAGTAATGAGAGTTTAAGGTGAATTTAGTTGGTCTATTGTGGGAAAGAATCTGATTCTAAGGGAGCAAGATGACTAATGAACGCAAGTTATATGATAATGACTCAATTAAATTTGGCTAGGAATTGAGGCTAAAGGACTAAGGATTAAAGGCTAAAGGATTAAAAGCTAATAATGGACATCAGCTGACCACAGAATGCAGGGTTTTTGTTTACCTTACTGCGTGTTGTCAGCCAGTATGCTGGTCGAGTGGCCCCACGCTAGCTGCCAGATTCCTGGCTTTTTGCTAGGGATTATTCCGGGGGTCCGTCCACATCGGCTGGTGGTGGGGAAAAAAACACTTGTAGTGATAGGGCGGGGGCTGGCCTCTGACTCGTTGTCGTTGGGAGGAATGAGGTTAATGTTAATTTGACGGAAATAAAGCTTAAAAGAGACAAAACTTGGTTGTTCCTGACTTCAAGGTTGCATGACATAATGGTCTGATAACTTTAACAAACAAAACAAAAGAAAAGGTAACTTCAACAAAGGTCCTCGTGAATATAGCTAAGTAAGTTGCTGGAAGACAAAGAAAACTTCACAGACAATGCCGGGCCGAAGTCTTAAGGCGCTGCCGTTACTTGGACACAGGAGCTCGCTCCGTAAGCGTGCCGAAAGCAGAGAAGCGAGAGCAGCGCATGGCGCTGTTTTTTTGTTTCCTGGGGTGTGTCTCCAGGGAGAGGGCTTGGTTACCTCCGATTTCTGTGTCTTAATTTAATATGTTCCTAAAGTCTACAAGGACATGGCATCAGATTACAAACAATAAAACAGATGGTAATGTAAATTAGGCACAAGGAGAGGCAGTTAACAATGGCATGCAATACTTCTTTTGTCCTCTGGGGAGGACAATGGTTCCATGCGAGGACCTGGAAATCCTCTGGTTTAACTTAATCCTTCTCAATCTTGGGTCAGGAGTGAAAGTTGGTTATGTAACACATGACAATATTTCTGTACCATATAATTTATAAAGAAAGTATATATAGGTGCTTGAACAACATTAATTTACAACAAAAATTAAATGCTGGAATTTCGGTGAGCATTGCTGAAGATTAAAGAGCACTGCAAAATTAACTTATTTATGGATTTTTATTTTCAACGCAGTTTCTAACAAGAACATGGTAATAGAACTACTCAAATTGAAGTGGCAGGCCACTAAGTAACTTAAAGATTATTTAATTCAAACAAGGTAATAAGGCAAGTTTATAAGGAGACCACATTCTTGTTCACACAAAGGAATTTGGGACCGTCCTTCCTGGCGTGTGGCTTTCCTCACCAGTTTCACAACTGGGTGTGAATAGTCAGAGGGTTCTTTGATGTTTCGAGGTAATCTGAAAGGGGAACGTCGTTACCATGGTTACCCTGCCCTTTTGGTCTTGGGAGTGTTTAGAGTTTCCTGACCTCGGTCCGAAGAGGTCCAGATAACCTAGTTCAGGATGAGGTTAGTTTCTGGACAAGGTTAATATAGCCATTTTAACAGTCAAGCATAGAGTCTGTTAGCTCAACTTCACCGGACGTGGTAGATTTTATGGTCGAAACAGCACTTGGGGGGGTAGAGCAAACCTTTCACCCCCTCCTTTGGGGTACTTAAGCTGTCTGTTGAGGGTTCATATCTCAACCCTCCCTCTTGTCTCTCAGGGAGAGACAAAGAGAGATTCTGGATTCTTCCTTTTTGGTATAAAATTAAACCAACACTGGCTGGTTCACGACAATAATAACAGCAAACCGTAAGATATATTCCCTTAAACTACTCTTAAGAAAATCTAGCTTTGGATGCGCTTGCACTGTTACTGTAGATCTAACATATACAAGCAGGGCTGCAACTGTTCATTATTTTGTCTTTTAAATAAATTAGTTATTAGGTCTATAAAAGGTAAGACAAAAATGTCCCCAAGCTCAAATTGACATCTTTTAAATTATGTGACTAACAGTCAAAAATCTTGGTTGAAATAAAACCAAGAAAAACAGTAAAAGCCCACATTTTAGAAGTGGAAGCCAGCAGACATTTGTGCTTTTTGCATAATATGTAGCTGGGCCTGGAACAATGAGCATTGGCATTCAAGTGCCATGGAGTGCAGAGAGTTTACAGACAGATAAAGGCTACAGCAGGGGATTTCATTTATCAGCATACTTTTAACGAGAATAAAGGGAGTAATTGATTCAACCACCTCTTGTAGCGTTTAGATAGAAAGTAAACCTTCTCACCCATGATCCTCCATAACACATGGTTGCCTGTCTGAGCCCTACAGAGCAGGCAGATAGATTTGCTGCATAGATTTCTAAATGCAAGGCTTTCTCTCACTCTGCTACAGCAATTAGCTCTCAGTCCTGTCATTTTGAGTAGACGTGCAGCCCAGAAAAAAACAAGCCCCTCTGTGCTTCAAATGCAGGTGGCGGGGCGCGTGACTTGCCCGACAGCAGAAGGTGTAACAGCATTAATTTGTCAAAAGTCACATTCACCCAGGGAGGACTGCCACATTAGCTGCCGCTGGGGCAGTTCTGAGTCGTGCTCGCTTTTGTTGAAAACCCAGCTCTCCACGTCAAAATATCAGATCCTCCTCCACCATTTGAGGCAGCTGTCAACAAAGTGGATGAAGGATGAGGACAGACAGAAGAGCAAGTGATAAAAAGACAGGGACAGCAAATCATATTACTGAGGCTTATTCCTCCTTGCTGCCCTCTCATTTAATATCTATACCAAGTGAGGGAGTCCGAATTGCTTATTTCTTTGCAATTAGAGTCTAAAATAGCCAATGCTTGTTGGGGATAGTTTGCTGAATACAAAACCTAGCAGTTCAATTACCAGAGACCTGTAGGGTGACAGGCTTAAGTGCTTCATATTATCAAAAGCTGAAGAAAGCGGGATGTATTTTTGCTTCAATTACAGTGGCCTATATTCTTCCCACTATGAGAAATAATGGAGGCTGTTGAATTTAAATGGGATGTTTCAGGCGTGGAGTAGGATACAATATATCTTTACATGAAAATATATATTTATACAGTGTATCCACCCACAAAGAAGAGGTCAACTTGCGCTGAGGAGTGGCATTTAATCTTGACAGCAGAGGAATTCCACGATCATTTTGACGAGTCCTGATGCTACAGTGGAAAAGAAGCGGTGACATTCTCGCGTTGTTGACATGCTCTTGAGTGCGGCAGTGGTGACAACTGACATTTACATTTCTCAAATAGTTGTGGATCTCAGCGCTGCACTTATGCAGTGTCTGTCCCTTATGCATGTCTATTTTATTACCTTATTTTAATGCCCTATTCTGCTGTATTGCATCAGTCAAATTTGACTGAATAGCATGGCTTTTTTTATTTACAGCAGGTCAGTTAGTAGCAGCAATTTAGAAGCCAAGCGTACAAAGTCGCTTTGTTTCTATCTGTTGTTGTAATATTAGATGTTTTTAACTGGGATGTTAAAGGGCTTTGACATATGACAGCCCACGTCATCGCACAATTAAGCACTCATTTTAAACACATACCCAAACTTAAGCTGACAGCCATACAGGCGAAGAACATACATTTGTATGTGTCATTTGTTACACTGACCCAAACCAAACAAAGATAAACACCTTTAAAACAACCAAAGCCATGAGATTCATTAACTTAACAAGACATATAATCAGTTAAGTCAATAAATTAAGAATACCAAAAATATAAAGTGAAAATACAAAATCCTGAAAGGCAGCAAGACCAGCAGTCCCAGTTCAGAAAGCCCCTCCCTTCTGATGCTGGTACAGGAGCTTTTAAAGACCTGCTTCCCAATCCAAGTGGACCTCATTTAGCAATCAGATGTAGCACACCTGGGGCAGAACTAGACAGAAAAGGGAAAAGGGACACATAGCACAGGGAAACACATACAGTTGTAACACATTCATAGTCTGCCTGAGCAGATTGAGGACACACGTTGTTATCATGGATGTGACTGAATGTGTTGTTGCCTGTGATAAAAAGTCCTTTAATATCCAGAACCATTCTCCTGCACTGAATAGAAATTGATACCCTGTATGACAAAACATCTTTGACAGTATGTGTTTTGGAGCTGCCTTTTCCCAACCAAAAGAGACGTGAATTTGTGTCAGATCTTTTGGTAAACATCTAGTGAGCTCCCCCTTTTTTTGGACGCTGTAGTAGAGTGTAGGATAAGAAACCAAATGTCTATGTCAGGATAGGAAACCCCACAGACCTTTTCTTTAAAAGCATAATTTAAGTTAATTTACTTTTCACCTATAATAAAACCTACAGTAATAGCGCGTGGATGGACATATTTTTGGATATACTTTACAGTAGCTGTGTGTGCACTAAGGGCACTATCATACCCAGCATGCTTGGAGTTGTTTATTCAAACTCTGGAGACTTTACATGAATAGTTTGCTAAATTTGAGAATGTAAAGTGGCAATGCGAAGGGCTTTGTTTCCAGATAATATCAAAACAAACAAACACTCCAAAAACAACATTTTATGTGTACAAGAACAGTAACGCAGATATCTGATATCTTAGCCTAGCAAGCAGAAATTGACTGATTAAACTACAGTCTGGACTGACAAATGTGTTTAGTTTTTAGTTCTTAACTCACATGAATACCACAAAGGAGCAAAATAATAAACTCCAACCTTCAAACTTTAATAATAAACACTTTTTTCCTTAGAATAATTCAAGTCTACTTAACATGTGAGCTAAGGCATATATAATAATTCCAGTACATATTTATAGACCTCTTGCAGTATTTGGTCTTCGTGGTATTTGTTCTGTATAACTTTTATTTCTTCTCGTCATATTCTGTTTTTTTTGCTTGCTGAATATTACTTTAAGTCACAGCAATTGCCTGTTTTCTCTCCTCATATCTTATTAAAATGCCTTGTTCTTGACTCCACTGCCTTCACGTCACCAAGCTTGTAGCTGGACCGGTAAACGTAGATTTAGCAGAGGAAAATAGATGCCGTCATTGCGATGCCTGTTATGCAGTCCCATGGTTGGTTTGTAATAAGGTTGTGTATAACTTTACTAGTATAGCACACATCAAGCAAAGATGCAGCCCAAAATGCTTAACAAAAGAAGACATGGATAATAAACCAAACAAAATGCAACAGAGTAAGACTCTTTATAATGAATTGGAGCAAGGAAAACAATCTCATAGCACAGTGGTCATGGGTTCTTAGCTTTAGATCAACAGCAGATTGAACTTTTACCCCCATTGGAGTGGGGGACTGGAAATGCACAAGCATTAAAAATGCATTATTCAGATGTTTTTTATTACATACAAACCCCACAAATATACTTCTCACTCCAAGTTTCAGTTTAGTCACTTAGGCAAATTAACAACAGAAATGCCAATACATAAAATAGCCTGAAGGCAAGTTAGTCCTCTGATGACGCACTGACCTCCGTTGTCAGCTTGAGTTTTAACTTTAAGGTTTTAGTTCAGGAGATGCAGCTGGATCTGCCTATGATAGCATACTGATCAGACCTAATGAGACTTAAAGACTCCAGGCGAGATTCTTGAATAACCTTCAGCAAGTTGGCCTTTTGAAACAAACCCTGGGAAAGATACATGCCTGAGAAATGGTTTCACAATTTCCCATAAATCAAATAGACAAAAACCTTCAGCATTCAAATTAGTCTGCAAGTGATGTAGTGTGTTTGCAAAGTCCCATTTATGTAGATGAGCGTTTTAACACAACTAGTTGTTGTGTTTCTAATATTAGGTTGCATGTATACAAGTGAGAATTGCCATTCAGATTTCCTCGGTCTGTCTGGTGATTTTTAAATTTATTTTCTACCTGGGTAGAGATGTGAATTTCTTAAAATTGTTTGCTTTGTAGGCAGCCCAGGAACAAAATATTCTTAAACTGAAGTTAGAATAAGAAAGGAAAACAAGAGTGATCAAGTTTCTGAAGTCAGACACAAAGGTCAGAGGCTCTCCTGATACTCATATTTGCATTCAAATTAACTCATTGTTGGTGGCCTTTCACATAGCAACAGCAACAACAAACTGCTTCTCTGTCTTTGCTAGTAAAAAGCTGAAGATTCCAGCTCTAACATTGTTGTCTAACTTCTAAGAGAAACCTTTTCCTAAGTGCTCCCGTGAGAGTTATCCCCTCACTTTCTATGGGTTAATGTCTTAATCTTAAGCAGCTCGTCCATTCAGCCTCCTGCGTGACCTCATTTCATCATTGCTCTTCTTCCATCCCATGGATTATTGCTCCTTTTCTTTGATTTGTTATTTACTTCATTAGGTGGTGAAGTTGAGTCTAATTGATGAAATAAATCTAGCTTAGTGAAGGCTGCAGGATTTGTCCCCTGTGCAGGTTCACTGTTTCAGAATGAGCAAACTACTGTACAGCACGGGCCCATCTGTCGAGTGTCTGATGAAGGAGCTGAAACAGCTACTAGAGTGTCCAACAGTTCCCAGAGGAGAACTCAGTGCTGTGCTGTAGAGTCCTGTATCACAGGCTGTAGAGATGATGAGGGGGTGAGAGGTTGTTTATCACACCATTACACTCACTGATCCTTTACTCCTCTGTCTCTCCTTTTCTCTTTCTTCCTTATTCTCTCATTTGACCTTTTCTTCTATGTTAGTCATTTACTCTCCTGAAACACATTTTGTCTAGTCTTCTTCTCTGTCTGTCCTCTGTCTGTCTCTCAATCTGTCTTGTCGTTTCTCCAACTCAAACTATTTGCACATTCTGTCTTCTCCTCCTTTATGTCGTTCACCTGTCTCCCTATCCTCCTCCTTGTTGTTGTTGGCAGTGGGAGCCATAAACACTCTTGTTTATGCCTCCGCATTTAAATTCAACACCACCTCTCAGGCTTATGGCTTGACGATCTCCACTTCAGCCACGAATGAATGACATTGCTTCTACCTCTTGTTGCCACAGGCACTGTCTTCCCTTTATTGGCTGGAATGTACTAATGAAAGAGGAACACTGCAAAAATGCAATAATGCAAATGCTAATAACTTAAATTTTCCTTTTATTGTCCAGGGACATCTATCAGTATCCCAGTCCATTATCCATCCACACTGAACAGGGTATTCCTATTCCTATTTTGATACTTAAAGTGTTAAAGTGTTTTAGATTATAGATTTCTATCTTGTGTTCTAACAAGCTGGAAAAAGTTCACAAGCAACTTTTTCAGTATTAGTTAAATCTATTTTAAATCTATTTTATAATTATCAGTCTGGTTTTAGAAAATCATATTCAAATCCTGTGCTTACTCTACCTTACAGACTATATGAAAGGAGAGACAGATGCAAGACAATGATGTGGAATGATTTTAATTGATTTACAAAAAAAGCAATTGACGCTGTCGACCAGTCTATTACCTAAGAAGCTGTCAGCTGCGTGTCCGTGTCCATCAGCATAGAAATGGTTCCTTAATCCAGAGATTCCAGAGACCATCTATCTAGCTAACAAATGTATAACAAGTTGGAGTCCCACAGGGCAGTGCTCTGGGCCCCCTCTTGTTTCTGTTAAATTAATCGGGATCTGCTTGTGGAAAGGGAACATCAGAACAAGCTTTTTGGTGGAAAAGTTAATGTTATCTATAAAGGTTGAAACTGCTGGCCAGTTTTTATGTTTTGAGTTGTTTTGTTTTTCAAGCGTTCATTGTTTAATGGTCTAGGATAAAACAAGTCTCAAACCAAGAGTCATTGTATTATTGTACACATTGGCTATCAGCAATTCCAGCAGCTTGGTGGTTACCTTTTGAAGGATAGAGCCATACAACTACAACTCAGCGTGGTTCATAATCTCTATAACAGAGCCCCATAGTATCTCAATGACCAATTTCGTAGCATTTGGTGCCAGACTAGAGCTAATGCTGCTGAATTGTACTTGCCTTCACTACCAACATGGGCATTTGTTCCTTTGGACTGGAACAATTTACCATTGCATATAAAAAAATTAAAGTAACCACCACTGTTTACAAAAACACAAAATAAAAACAGCCATTGTTTAAACATATGTTGTTGGGGGGGTTTTTTTGTCCCAACAGTGGCACCAGCCATGAACCTGAAGGTGCGTGGCGTGACTGATCGCATTATTGAGCTGGAGTGGGATGGGTCAGTTGTGCTCACAGATTTCTTAGTGACCTACACACCAAGCAGCACTGGAGGTAAGCACAAAGCTATACTAGCCTTTCGAAGCTTTGGGAGGTTATAAGCGTCAGCCGAATCAAAATGTCTTGAAAGCATACACAATGTCTTTTTAAAAAAAGTGCATCCATGTATCAGTGTAATGTCTTAACTATCTCTCTGTCAGGTGTTCAACTAGAGATAAGGATTCCAGGCAATATCACCACCTGCACTATCTCAGGCCTGGAGGCAGGCGTTGAGTACAACATCAACGTGTTCGCTGTCATTAACAACAGTATCAGCGTCCCTGCCAGCATTACTGTATCAACCTGTAAGTGCAGTCCTCCGGGTTGTTTTGACAAAATGTTCTCAGGGGGAGCCTGAAGGATATTCCACTGAGGTCGTGTTTGCTCCATGACCAGCAGAATAAAATGTTCTCTGTCTCACACAGTGTTATACATGCATTCTCACATGGACCATTCATGCAGATGCACACACACCGTAGCTCTCACCTTTTTTTTTGTTAAATCCTCCCCAGGATATTTCCCAGTGTCAATAGAGTGAGAATACCACCTGCTCCTCTGTGTCAACTGTTTGTGATTACTACCTGTAACACCTGCTTGGCGTCACTCACACTCTAATAAAATACACACACAAATATGAACACCTGAATGTGTACCTCCTGGCCAGTGTTAATGCCAGGTCATCGAACCTGACAGAGAAACATACTAGTTGCTTCCATGCTCATCAGAAGTCTGCAAACTCACTGAACTGTTTAAAGTAATAGCCTGTTTTCAGTGGCAAACAGAATATTGTATCCACTTTACATTAGCTGGCTTCATACAGTGTGTTGCCATTACTTCAGTCTTGGCAGGTAAAACTATCCTCCATTTTACAGATAAGTGAATTTAATTTCAGTGATTGCAGAATTCAGGCTAATAAAGTAAATTTAGGGCAGTTAGGCTTGATGCAACCATTTTTCAGTGACGATATGATTTGTTGGGTTGTCTTTGCTAAACGTAATTATAAAATGTAGTATGTGATTATCTGGAAAGATTTATGAGGACACAGATGCCTGTGAAAAAAGTAATTTTAACATTTTGCAAAATCAAGTATGGGCTACGGTTGTTATTATTAAACAAGGAACTAATTAAGTTTTATATATATATTGTGTGTGTGTGTATATGTGTATATATCATCAGTATGGTCGAAATCAATGCTTATCCAATTTGAAAAGTGTTTTCATTGTGTTTCATGAAGCAGGTGTGCATGTTTTGAAACCTTTTGAACAAAAATGACATTTTGATTAATGCCAATGCTAAAATGAATATGGTTAAATGATAAAGAAAGAAATTAATTAAGACACCTTCAGCATGAGATGAGTAGTGATTTATGGGCTATATGGGTCACTGAAGAACAATAATATATCTCTGGCTATCTCTCCAGATCTCTCCAATCCAGATGGTTTAGTCTTTAAATCCATCACAGAGACATCAGTGGAGGTCCAGTGGCAACCATTCTACTATTCCTTCGATGGATGGGAGATCAGTTTCATCCCCAAGGTAGAGTAAAGCTGTGTGAACACTGTGTGTATGTGTTCGCTGTCAGTCCCAATGTAATACTGTATTACAGCATGCTGGAAGACAACCACATTGTCCTTCTGTGTGAGAAGAATAGAAGGAAAAAAGGCTTTTAATGAATCATCAGGTCATGCTTTGCCTTATCTCCCACACACACACACAACAGTATTGTTTCTTACCTTTGCTTGTTGACTGAACAAAATATTCTTGATTGAAAATTGAATTGCATTCAAATCTCACCCATGCCAATCTGTAAATGACTTTGAATTTTTGTGCAGAAAAATTAAGGAAAGTAACTTGATGGCTTTAAGCTTTTTTTGCGGGTTTCCTCATCTTGAATCCCATACCAAATTAGACAAGCGGATTGTCTTAAGCTTATTGGCTATTAGGTGGATGAGCCATTAAACCCTTTACCAAAATAACCTTTCATAAAACCATAGCAGGGCCAGGTTCAAAGCCAGTAAGCCAAAACCTTTCTCTTTCTAATTCCCTCTGTAAATTCAGGTACTCGCGGCACTCTAATCTCTTGCCCCATCACAACAACTGTCCTTTAAGGTGTTCTCAGGGGGAGATATCCTTTGGTCTGGCCACAGTCCAAGCCTCAAATCTGATGTTAAAATGCTTTTATGTGTTTATTTCAAGCCCTTTTACTAATAGAAAGTTTCTGTATTGAAAAAGCAGTCGGCTTCCTAATTTCATTTGATTGCTTTTAGCTCTCCCTTTTCTCTCTTTCTATCTAATCCTCATGTGTCTCCACTGTCTCTCTTCTTCAAGCGCATTCCACCCCCCACCCATCTTGTTCTCCTAATCTCATTTTTATTTTGCATCCACCACCTCTCGAGATCGCCAACCCTTTTCTCTCTGCTGCTGAAGGTACCCTCCATCCCTCTTTTTCCTTCACTTCTCTCTTCGTCTCCATCCCTTTCTGTATATGTTCTTCCCTCGCTTTCCCTCCCTTGCTCCAGCCACAGGGGAAATCATATTATGAGTTGGCAGTCCCACCCCCTGTGGATTTAATCCAGCAATGGGGATTGTGAATTTTGACAATCTTGTAATGGAAGTAGGCATGAAAGCCATGGCCTTTGCGAACAAACACAGAACTCACTACGCTGTAAAAAGGAAAGAGAGAAAGAGAGGGGGAGGGGAAGCTCCGAGTCCTGACGTTAACGCTGTTAGAAACAGCTACAGTATATATCTGACATTCCAATAAAATACCATACCAGCGTTGTTGTAGCACATACCAACCACATCATCTAATACATTATGGTTTTGAGTTTTTGTTTGTAATAAATCAATGAAGCTGTAAAGCAATCAGTCAGTCAATACTGCTGCCAGTAGAAGTGTACTAGTGTTATATTAGTTATTTTGTATTAGTTCCTGTGGTATTATAGTCATATACAGCCATAAGAAATATTCTCAGTATTGATTGATTATGTGATTTCCTGGAAGCTCCCTTTAAAAAAAAAACATTTTCTTTGATTGTTAGACAACCTGCAGTAGTTTAAGGTTACCCTAAAGTAAATCAGAGTTGTGATTCATGTTGAATACTCTTCAAATGGTCAAAGATCAGGACACATGATGAGGCTGTGCAATTCTGCAGTATTCTCTTCACATAAACCATTTGTTCATATGATGCCTAGATGAACTTGAAATTATGTTAACTCATGCCTGTGGCTATAACACTGTTCAAATTGCACTTTGTGATTCACTCCTGGGAAGAAGAGACAGCGCCAGGCAGATTCCACAAACAACTAAAAATCAATGTTTCTTGCTCATTTGAGCCTCTGAAGCTGCATCTTGTTGAAGAAATTAGGTGATTAAGTGAGAGGAAACCCCTTTGCACAGAACAGTTTGTAATAAAGGCATTATAGGTTCAAATAATGTAAAATGTATCATTGATTCATGAACGAAATTACAAAACAGTGTCTCTCACTTACCTCTGATAGTATCTAGCCACGTTTTCCTGTTTTTGACTTGTCCGCATCTGAGATGTCTGCTGCCACCCCAGAACAAAGCAAGTTTGCCTTTTTCCCCTCATTCTCTGTTGTGGCAGTGTGCTTATAATAATGTATGCAAATAATGGGTACATTTCTATCCCTGTGTATATATGTCAGCTGTGTGTCAGCGTGTGATGGCTTGGCTGAGAACTGGGTAGAAATATTTGGGCTTTCTTACTTAACATTTTGGTTTTTGGAGACAAAGTATATCATATAGTGCTGCATTACATTTCACATCCACCATATTTACACTAGTGTGAAAAAGTGTTTGCCCCCTTCCTGATTTCTTATTTTTTGCATATTTGTCACAATGAAATGTTTCAGATCATCAAACAAATTGAAATATTAGACAAAGATAACACAAGTAAACAAAATGCAGTTTTTAAATAAAGGTTTTTATTATTAAGGGGAAAAATCCAAACCTACATAGCCCTGTGTGAAAAAGTGATTGCCCCCTAAACCTAATAACTGGTTGGGCCAGCCTTAGCAGCAAGAACTGCAATCAAGCGTTTGTGATAACTGGCAATGAGGCTTTTACAGCGCTGTGGAGGAATTTCGGCCCACTCATCTTTGCAGAATTGTTGTAATTCAGCCACATTGGAGGGTTTTCAAGCCTTAATCGCTTTTAAGGTCATGCCTCAACATCTCAGTTGGATTCAGGTCAGGACTTTGGTTAGGCCACTCCAAAGTCTTCATTTTGTTTTTCTTTAGCCATTCAGACTTGCTAGTGTGTTTTGGATCATTGTCCTGCTGCAGAACACGAGCGCTTCAGCTTGAGGTCACAAACACATGGCCGGACATTCTCCTTCAGGATTTTTTGGTAGACAGCAGGATTCATGGTTCCATTTACCACAGCAAGTCTTCCAGATCGTGAAGCAGCAAAACAGCCGCAGACCATCACACTATTTTACTCTTGGTATGATGTTCCTTTTCTGAAATGCTGTATTACTTTTACGCCAGATGTAATGGGACACACACCTTCCAAAAAGTTCAACTTTTTTCACGTCAGGCCAGAGTATTTTCCTGAAAGTCTTCAAGATTTTTTCTGGCAAAACTGAGACGAGCCTTTATGTTCTTTTTGCTCAGCAGTGGTTTTCATCTTGGAACTCTGCCATGCAGGCCATTTTTGCCCAGTCTCTTTCTTATGGTGGAGTCATGAACACTGACCTTAACTGTGGCAAGTGAAGCCGGCAGTTCTTTGGATGTTGTTGTGGGTTTTTTTTGTGACCTCTTGGATTGGTCGTCGCTGTTCACCACTGTTCCATGTTTTAGCCATTTGTGGATAATGGCTCTCATTGTGGTTTGCTGGAGTCCCAAAGCTTTAGAAATGGCTTTATAACCTTTTCCAGACTGATAAATCTCAATTACTTGTCTTCTTTGGATCGCAGCATGATGTCTAGCTTTTGAGAATCTTTTGGTCTACTTCACTTTGTCAGGCAGGTCCTATGTGATTTCCTTCTGTGAGAAATTGAACTCAGCTTTCCAAGGATGTGATAAAGCACAGTTGATTTATGTTTTAAGAGGAGGGGGCAATCACTTTTTCACACAGGGCATGTAGGTTTGGATTTTTTTCCCTTAATAATAAAAACCTTAATTTAAAAACTGCATTTTGTGTTTACTTGTTGTTACATTTCAGTGTGACAAACATGCAAAAAAATATGAAATCACTTTTTCACAGCACCATATATGTTGCTTTTTATGAATGGTAAGAAGATTTTTAGAGCCACCTCTTGACAGTGTTTTTTGATTGACAGATAAAATGACATGCTGTCTTACCTGAATAACTAAATTACATTAAATTAAATAATAAATATCAAAGAACCATGAATGGGCAATCAAACAGCCCTACATTCTTGTCACCCTTTGGCTCAATAAAATGAAAATGATAAATACAAAAGAATCTTTTTGTCATTCTATATCTAAGCGACCTTGTCGGCAGAGAGAATGATGACTTTTTTTTTTTTTTTTTATAATTTAGCATTGCCTTCATTTAACTGTGTTATTGAGATTAAACACCAATTGTTATCGGAACATTACCGTTGTGTGTTACTGCCCACCCTGGTAATTTAGTTGAGGTGATTAAATGGATTAGATCTCTAATTACAGTTTTGATTTAGGAAAGTAGCAAGCTGTTATATGTTCTGTTTTTATACGAGCCTTCGTAGCGCTGGCTTTTGGGGATCTTGGAGCAGCAGTAGGTGTAACATCTGTCGGTCGGCAGGAAGTGCGATACTGGCTCTCTGAGAACAGCTGGGAAAATCAGGGGCTCCATATGGATGAGTGACAGGCCTTTGGAAATGTACAGTGTGATGTGCTGCCTCTGCAGAATATGGCTTGAGAAATATCACAGTAGCAGTCATACCCATTTTTGCCAAACAGCACAGTTTGGGAATTTAATGTGCTAAACCATCCAAAAGTTTACAAATAAGTCAAAAGAAAAAGGCTGTACACAGCTCAGAAAGTCAACTGTATATAACTTAATGGCATATGTCACCGTTTATGTCTTACTGGTGAGGATTGTCTTTTATCTGCCAGATCCCTTGTCTCCACTGTGAGAAGGAGTTTAAGGCACACAGTAGCTGACATTTACTCAAAATATGCAATGTGCTACAGAAATGAGCTCAAGTCTCTTTTCATCTCATCACTTCTGTCTCTGTTTTGTTCTAGGACAATGATGGAGGGATGACTGCACAGCTGCCCAGCACCATCACTTCCTTTGTGCAAACTGGTTTAAGACCAGGGGAGGAGTATACTGTTAACCTGGTGGCACTCCGAGACCAGGGTCGAAGCCAGCCAGTCACTGCTACTGTCACAACATGTATGTACTAATGGAAACTGTGGATAAACTTTGATATTAGAATATATTTTCAGTCATGTAAATAGACAAAATAAAAATACATTCCCTTATGTTTAATTGCAGAAAGAATTAGTATATTTGAATTAGTATACATATTTTCATACAAACATTTCCTACAGTTTTTCATTACAGCACATGGGTAAACATGAGACATAACTAAAATCTCCTACATATTACTTATGGTTTTGTCAAAAAATAACATTAATGCCCTTGAAAACCTATTTTCTCAATCAGTTATTATTCTACACACGTCTTTCTATGTGTGCTTTTGTCTCTTCTCACTGGTTTAAAGTGGATGTTGTCAGAATTTAGCAGTATTTAATTCAACATGTGGTTACAGATGTTTACTTGGTTTGCCAGGCCACAGTTAATCAGGCCTGATCAAACTGCACCCACACAGTCTTTATAGAAACACATTAGCTCGGGTTTTGAAGGTGTTTCACTCTTAATAAGAAAATAGAATGGACTTTGATTGTTGCTCATGTAGTCATAACCAATAATGCAACACAAAAATACCTAAGATTTGAAATTAAGTTTTCTGGGGCTTTAAGATAAGTTGTAAATTTATGGCCTGAGGAAGAAGCATCCAGCCAACCAGTCACATTACAAAACACCCCGGTAATTTCATATTTATAATAAATTAGTAAACCCAAGGCGACATCTTAAAGTTGCTTGTTTTGTCACACCAACAGTCTAAAACCTGAAGATGGTCAATTACAATGACATAACCCAGAAAAACAGCAATTCCTCATATTTGAGAAGCTGGAGGGAGAGAATGTTTGGCATTTTCGCTTGATAAAAGGCTTAAACGATTAAGCAATGATTAAAACTGTCAGCAATTAATCAGTCAGAAACTAAAACCTGTTATTTTGAATGTAGCATATTATTCCCTGCACTTTCAAGAGCTGCCACACACACAGACACGCATCTAAATACCCTGGCATAAGCAGTGTCATCTTGACATATTTGTTGGTCTGTCACCATTTAAGTCCCTGATGTAAATCTCTCTGAGGTATTGCCCCCACTCTTCACCCAGCTGACACTACTTGGACAGCTGTAATAGATCCAATTCAAGCTCTGTCCATAACAATTCAAACTCTGATGTCTGCAGTCAAAACACCATCAATTTCCTGTCAAGTCTTTGTTCATTTCGTGGGTTGTAATTAAGTATCGATTAATAATTCATGGCACTTGTTAATTTTTCATGGAGGCCCACTGCAGGACACCTAATTGGATAAAGAAAGAGGAAAAGACAAATTTGAAGTTACTCAATTATTTATAACAAAGATTTATCCTTTCTCGGGAGACAGAGGTAACGCAACGAGGAGTTGGAGGGAAACCAGAAGGAGAGGACAGCTGATGGGGGAACTGGTTCTCAGCAACTGTCTTCTTCAGAATATTTTCTAGGAGACCCAAGGGGCCAATTTCTAATACATCACAGGTCAGGGTGGACCGGCAATACATCAAGCCTGAGTCTGGGACTTATTTATATCTCAAAAGCTTAAAGAAAGACTTTAGAAAGCTCTGGTCCTGCGTTATTTACATAAGTTCTCCCCAGCCATCAATAAGTAGTGCGGTTTCACTGCACTGTGCGGGTCCGATGTTGGTGGGGGGGTGTCAGGAAACCAGTTAGTATCTGGTGGGGCCACCATTTTCCTCACACAGTGCAACATATATCCACATAGAGTTGATCAATGTGAAGTTGATTCAATGGCTGAGCGAAGTTGCAGTCAGGTCGGGACCGCGATTAGGACGATGAGCATGCAGATGAGCTTCCCTGAGACAGTTTCTGACATTTGTGCAGGAATTCTTTGGTTATGCAACAAATTGTTGCAGCAGCTGTCTGGGGATCTGGTCTCCAGTGATCTTGGAGGTGAAGATGCTGAATGTGGAGGTCCTGGGCTGATGTTGTTACACGTGGTCTGCGGTTGTGAGGCCAGTTGGATGTACTGCCAAATTCTCTGAAACGCCTTCGGAGACGGCTTATAGTAGAGAAATAAACATTCAATTCATGAGCAACAGCTCTGGTGAACATTCCTGCAGTCATCATGTCAATTACACGCTCCCTCAAAGCTTGCAACATCTGTGGCATTGTGCTGTGTGATGGAACTGCACACTTTCGAGTGGCCTTTTATTTTGGCCAGCCTAAGGTACACACAGGTACTGTGCAATACCTATCCTGTCTGATCAGAATCTTGATATGCCACACCTGTGAGGTGGATGGATTATCTTGGCAAAGGAGAAGTGCATACTAACATAGATTTTGTCAGATTTGACAATATTTGAGAGAAATAGGCCTTTTGTGTACATAGAGAAAGTCTTAGATCTTTGAGTTCAGGTCATGATGAATGGGGACAAAAACAAAAGTGTTGCGTTTATAATTTTGTTCAGTGTATATCACAGTATAGTATGGGGCTCCCAGTTTAAAAGTTGTATGTTGAACTAAGCATTTTGTTGTGCTGTTTTGGTCAGTTCCACAACATTAAATGAGGTTCGTCACCTTGGTCAAACTTAATGGGAGTAAAATGTATTATCATAAACTGTGCATAACCGTTATTTAAGTTACAGCTTTGAGCCTCATTTAACAGAAATAGAAATTAAGGACAGAATTGATTTAGCACCTTCATTTTCCCATACATCTGTTACAGCAACAGATCGAACCATAGCTATTGTGAAAAGAAGTAATAAACAGGTTAATGAAAGAGTGCTAATTATCACGTTCATTAACACCCCATTACCTTGACTGAAATTCCTTCATATAGGGATTGACGCTCTAACAATGAAAATACTACGCGTGAAAGTTTAGTGAATCCCTCTTGTGCCAACCATCTGCCGCTTAAGCAGGGGCAAGTCACAGTGGCAGAATGCTAAGTTAGGTAGTCCAGACGTCCCTCTCCCCACCAGTGTTTTCCAGCTCCTCTTGGGAGATTCTTGGGAGGCGTTCCCAAGACAGATGAGGTAAATGATATCTCCTACCTGTTGGACTTGCCCAGAAAACCTGTAAAGGGAGGTGCCCACTCAGCTTTTGATGGAAAAGGAGCAGCAGCTCTACTCCAAGCTCCCTGCGAATGTCTGTGCTCCTTACCCTATCTTTAAGGATGAGCTCCAACCTTTTACCTAAGGTGTTCAAGTACATATATGAAACACCATATACTTGAATGTGTTTATGTCCAATCCATGACTAACACAGAGGCTCCTTATCTTGTAGGAGGGGTTAGTGCATCCCTCTGACCTGGGAGCTGTGTTGTCTGGGGCATTAGCTCCTGGTTGGGACTCCCAAGGCAAATTGGTCCCATGGGAGGGACCCCACATGGATCAGAACTTGCAGTAACAGGGAAACTGGGGGCCTTCTGGCCTCCTGGTATCGCAGATCTCTCATCACGTGTTTTCAGCTCTTCACACCTAGTGCTGTTTTCCAGCAACCAGCATGAAGAGACTTTAATCACGGCTTATGTTTTACACCTTGCTCAGATAAACCCTGTTGTTTCAGCGCCTCTCAGGCAGGTCTGATAAGTTTTACATGCTTGGCTGTCAAAGAACAGCCTTTTCTGATAACAAACCCTGATCTATCACTGAGTAAGCTCGAAGCAGCGAGTATTAACATGAACTTTCATCCCCTCATTTTAAATTTTCCATTTTAGCTTCCCTGTGAATACTGACTGAAGTTTTTCCAAACCAATAGTTGGCATCAAATGTGTGGTCAGAGTAGGAATCTTGTTTACTTATTCTTTGATTTTGTATAATTTAATCATAATTTGGCCAAGAATTAATTTTATTTAGTTCTGCAGCTGCATGTGGTTAGACAAGATTTAACATTTGAGCAGTTTAACTTCTTTTGTTCAAAGAATATTGGTATTTTGTAAACAAATATATTCAAGTTCCTCAAAGTGGAGCTGAAACATGATTTGATTAATCAATTAGTTAATCAACAAAAGATTATTGGCAACTGTTTTGATTTTTAAAGAAAACATTCCAAACTTTGTACTCATCAGCACATTATTCTGATAGTAAGTGTAAAGTGCATCCCTACCTAACCAAAAACCCGGTGTTAAATTGGAAATGTCAAAAATAATGTCAAACTATATCTACAACAAGTCAAAAAGTAGTGCAAAGGTTGGCAAAGTGAACACACCCTAGTGAGTCTGCTTTGTTTCTAACAATAGCAGCAGGACGTTCAGTAATTATGCTTCTCTCTTTCTTTGTTTTACAGTGATTGATGGCCCCACACAGCTGATTGTGCGGGATGTGTCAGACACCGTAGCGTTTGTGGAGTGGATACCACCAAAAGCAAAGATTGATCAGATTGTGTTGCGTTACGGCCTGGTGGGAGGAGAGGGTCCACGGACCACCTTCCGCCTCCAGCCCACTCTCAGCCAGTACTCCCTGCAGGTGAGTGGTGGGGGAGGTGTGTGTGTGTGTGTGTGTGTGTGTGTGTGTAATTCATCATGCTGTGGTGTCACAGATCTCATCATACAGACACATTATGTGGACTCATCTGCCATCTGGGGACAGAAAAGCTAGTCTTCACAACTTGAGAGTTGCATTTGGGGTTATTACATTGTACTAAGTATAGTGTTTCTGGTGTGTGTGTGTGTGTGTGTGTGTGTGTATGCTTGTCATGCTTGTTAAATTATCTAATCTCAGAGTCTGCCTGTCTTCTGTGTCTGGAGATAAAACAAAAACAAACAAAAAAAATCCATGCAAAGAGATGAAACAGACCAAACTGTCCCTGTTTTTTTTTTTTTTTTTTTTTGTTCCACAGGTTCTGCGTCCTGGCTCACGTTACGAGGTGTCTGTGAGCGGTGTGAGGAAGGGAAATGAGAGCGGATCTATTTCCACTGAATTTACTACCGGTGAGGTCTGACAGCAAGCAGATGTGGTGATAGTGGCGTGTGTGATCTTGTACCTGCCTCTGAGGACAGGCAGGTACAAGGTACAGTTGATGACATATGGCCTAATGCATACCATACTGTTTATCTATATTGGATATGTTAGTAAACATCTGTTCAGGGATATTTTTGCTGTTGTTTGCGCAGAAGAAAGTACATTATTTGTGGAAACATTACATTACATCTGTTTTGAGCACAAACGAGTGAACTTAACATGTAGAATAAACCATAACATTATTTTCAGCTGCATCTAAAGTAAAATGTATGCATATGATGTCAGAATATGTAAACTATATCATGCAAATCAACTATATTTATACACTAGCTGGATCTATGCCTGATGATGTTTGAACTATTGATGTTTGCTTGTTCACAATTCCTGAGAATTGGTCTCCGTGTCCCCAACATTGTCAGCTTTATCGTTCTTCTCAGAGATCGATGCTCCCAAGAACTTGCGGCTCGTGTCCATGACCTCCACCACCCTGGAGCTTGAATGGGATAACAGTGAGGCTGAGGTAATTAGTCATAGGCCAAATAGCATTAGCAGTTAATTTTCATGATTTCGTTTTTCAGCCCTTTTGAGTGATCAACGGGTTTGGTCATTTAAATGTCAGTATTGTACTTAAATCATATTTCTTTTTATAAAACTGCCTGTATTCTAATGCAGTATACGGAAGACTCTTTTCGATTCCCACTGCGACACATGTCCCTGAGCAAGACACTTAACCCCTATTTGCTCCAGAGGCGTACAACCTCTGACATATATAGCAATTGTAAGTCGCTTTAAGTAAATGAGTAAATGTAATGTATATTATAAATTGGTACTGTATTATGTAAATGTTATAGTACTTTATACTTGTACTCCATTACATTTATTTGATGGTTTTAGCTTCTTTGAAATTTAAGATTTTACATGCAAAGCATATGATGAGCATATCAAATATTATTTGATGTCATAGATTAAACCACCCAACAGAAAATAAACTAGCTACAATTAGCACCACGTTAGCATGCTACAGTATGGAAATGCTGCTTACCTGTTAATGAATCAACAATAAAAAAATCAATAATATACATTGGATTATACAGATAAAATACTCTCTGGAAAGACTCAAAATAAGTAAAAAGTAGGGCTGGGCAAGTAAACGCATTATTATTGCACATTAATTAACGCATTAGTTAATTACTAGAAGTAGATAAACAAAAGCAAGACAAGCAAATAATTAAATGCCATAGCGAAGTGGATAGCTACACATTGCATGCTGATGAGTATTTGGGAAGATGTCGATCTTAACGTTCTTAAAATCGCAATGTAGTTGCTTGGCACCGCGGGGTTGCACTTTCCTCAGGTGAAAAGAAAGGGAGACAAGTACTCTGCGAGTAAACGGCAGGCGCTCTATGGAGAGTAACCATGGCAACGGCTTCTGTGCGCTACACAGCTGTAGCCTATTTAACTTAAATTAAAATTATAGGCTACATAACTTTACCTGATAGGCCTACATCTAGTTTTGTGGGGATGCTCTGCCCTCCTGTTGATGTCCTATTTAGTAAACAGTAATAGATTCTGGAAACTAACAAACAGCAAGGATCAGTCTCTCTTCCGATGATATGTCCTGGGTGTCTTGTACAAAAAGTTCACAATTCAGCTTCGGCAGCGGGCAGGTGTGTGTGTGAGGCAAGCACAACCGCGAGAGTTTCATGGGAACGCACCCGCTTGTCGCTACGCCTTGTGCTCGACCACTTCACCTCACTTTAACAGGGACACTTGCTACTGAACATAGAATGTTTATGCTGATAAAAGACAAATGTTTATGCTGGTACCTGTTCAGAAACCCCCCCCCAAGAAAACTGGACTCTGATAGTAACTTGTTTTAACAAGCTAGATAAAAGGTAATGCCCTGGCAGTGGCAAATAGCTTTGGTTTTAGATTTGATTTGATTTGATTAATGTTTAAGTTGAGATTTACAAGAAAAACATTTTTTGTTTAAAGTGTTTGCAAATCACATGTTATTGCACTTTTGTATATATAGCAGTACATCTAAATTAAAAGTGCGCAATACACTACTTTAGAATTCATTATTTAATTTCTGCGCACAACAAATTTGCACATAATTAATCATGATTAATCTCAAGAAAATCATGCAATTAATCGTGATTAAAAATTTTAATCATTGCCCAGCACTAGTAAAAATAATAATAATAATAAAAAAGTAATAGGGCTTTTGATTGTCCGATATACAGTAGGTACCTTTACTTAAGTTCTGGATACTTCTACCACCACTGGACACTATTCATGCTAAACCTCCCAATATTAGAATCTCCTTTTTTGAGTTTTTCTCACTTTTAAATAAGTGTAGTGGAATCTCCTGAAATACATCATAGCTTCAGCAGAATCTTAACCTTTGGTATCACTGAGCATGTGTTAATTATGTCCTTTTTGTAAAAATAGCATAGTCCTGAGTCCCCTGACTTTATCTACCCTCCCTTGACCCTTCCTGCATGCTTGCCCTTAAGCAGGTTGTTTTTATACCTCCCATTTTGTTAAACTCTGTCTTGTTGTATTGAGCACTTTATCTTCACACAAAGGTGGGTCTGCATTTCGTAAATACCAATCAGGCACACATATTTATCGGGTGCAGTAAAGTAAAATGTAATAAATCACATTGTTTCACTCAGTAGTCACAATGATATTACCAGAGCTCACTAACTATACAACCAGACTCATGAAGCTAGTCTGTTTTGATTCTTGTTAACACTACAAATGTATTCATCCTCAGGAATCTGCAGTGTTGACGCAGAGCCAACTCTCACACCAGGCTAATGTAGAATAAACCATGAATTCTATGAACCATCTGTAATGCAGTGTAAAATGTAAAAGTTTTTTTTTTTGCTGTTCTGGATAGCCTTGTGTTTCCTTCATTTGGTTGAAAATACTTTCAAATGTTTCCTTCTGTTTGGTGTTAATGTTTGAATGTATATGTTTAAATGTAGGTGGAGGGCTACCAGGTGGTGTACAGCACTTTAGCAGGAGACCAGTATGATAAAGTCATTGTGCCACGCAATGAGGGAACTACCACTAAGACAACTCTCACAGGTAAGTGAGAAGGATGTGATGTGGTGCTTTTATTTCATCTGTTGTAGAAACAGTTTTTATTGAATAATTTAGTATCAACATCTGTAGCAGTGCGCCTAATGTGTACTGAAGAAGCTGGGAAGTGCCTGTGTGTTTTACATGGCAGGATTATCTCCAGAGACAACACTAACACTTGGCTGACAGGCTACTGATTGTATCTTTAGAAATGCTTGTTGTCCTGCGGGCATATTGACAGGCTGTCAGAAAAGGAGGGGTCAGCTGGGATGTTTTTTCTGAAAGGCCATAGTGCTGGAAAGGGCATGGCCAGCATAAGAATAGAAGTAAAAGGTCCCTGTGTTATTCTATGTGATCGATGCAGCCTGCACTCTCACTCTCATTCCTTCTCTGCCCCTCCCCCTCTCTCTACAAATAATCTCGGTCATTCACTCTCATTTCCATTGCTCATCTCTTGATCTTTATTTCTGTAGCTTCAAAAACTCTGTGTGGACGTGCTGAATTGATTTGACAATCATCATTTAACTGGTTGGCAAAAAAAGGCGGGTTCCTTCAGAAATCATACTGATGTACGTGTAAATGTGCCTTAACGTCATCACTGATGTACAGCTAATCGGGCTGTTTAGATTAGAACTCCATCTAATTGACATGCACTTTGAGTGAGAAGAAGAGTGTAAAACAAATCTATGTCTTATAAGCATCTGCGATGTTTTGTGTTAAATTAGTAACCAGCTCCCTCTGTGTCTTTGTGCCTCAGACCTGCTGCCAGGCACGGAGTACGGCATCGGCATTTCTGCCATGAAGGGTAGCAACCAAAGTACACCAGCAACAATGAACGCCAGGACAGGTGAGTGAATTACTGTGTGTTACTAAGACTACGTTCAGACTGCAGGCCTCAATGCTCAATTCCGATTTTTTTATTAGACAGTTCATGTTATTGCTTAAACGTGGCCCAATCAGACTCCAGTGTGCATGAAAGTGACCCGCATGCGCAGAAGACTAACACGATGTCACACGCAGCACGCTGTTGTACAGAAGTAAACAGAGCCACAGAGGTTAGCTCCGGTTATTCCCGTTTAGCTCATACACTTATGTTTCATTGCCCGGTTTCCTCCCAGGGTCACATCCCTCCCAAATTATGACAAGTGTTCACAACTTTGTCATTACGGTTTCTGTCGCTGTACAATGCGTCTGCCCCACATCTCTCTCTCTCTCTCTCTCTCTCTCTCTCTCTCTCACTCTCACTATCCACTCCACAAATAGTATGCACATAACTCAGAAAAGAGCTCGAGATCCGGTAGATTTCAGGTGTAAGAAAGGGAATTTGTGAGCAGATGATAGCAAGGTGGAGGAGGAAGAGAGCCACGTGTTTAATAATGGCTTCTTTGTGGAGCTTTTTCAATCACTGCAGCTCTGCCTACCACAAAACTGTGACAAGAGCTGCTCTAGAGTGACATCAAAGTCACATCAATTCCGACCTGACCGTCCAGACTCAGGTCGCATTCAAAAAGATCCAATCTATTTGGACCACATAGGAAAGTGGCCCAAATCCGAACTGTAAAAGATCAGATTCCATGTGACTTGGCCTGTTCACACTGTTAAAAAAGATCAGATCTGGGTCACATATGGGGAAAAAAATCGGATTTGGGTCACATTGGCCTGCAGTCTGAATGTAGCCTAAGTGAATCACAGCCGCACTGTACTGGAAATCTCCGTTTCACAGCAGGCTGCTCTGCCCATTTGTTATTATACATTCCCAGTTAGTGCTGTTGGTCAGTGCTCCTGTTCCAACCATTAAAAGCCATTTTAGTGAAATTAAGCAAATCAGATTTTGGCAAGACTTGTGCTATTTGAGAACGGTGTGTGGCTGCTTTATATTACCCACCCGGGTCAAAGTTCCCATTATAGCATTTTAAAGCCGTAATAATGCATACCATTTTGCTAATGGCCCTCTCTTTACCTCAGTACTTGATCGCCTATTTGAATTTTTATTGTGTTTTGAGTTGTTGGGCTGAAAGAAGAAATAAAAGGGCCCATTTAACCTTCTGTTTGAAATGTTTGTGCGTGAAGTTGCTTTGCTAATCGTTCCCTCACGTTGACTGTCAAGCAGCACATCGTTCCTCCTGTTGCAATTATTTTAATGGCTGAAGGTATTTTGCACTTTGCCAAATTATGCCTTGATTTGTGTTACGAACAAGTTCTTTCTACCCCCCTATTTTTTGCACTCTCTTTGAACTTTGAAAGTGCACTACAGCTATCACATCTTTCTGAATTAGCTTTAAATAATATGACAACATCTCCGGTCTTCCCGGCACACAGCTGTGCTCATGTTACTAAAAGTGTGAGTTGCTGAAAGCGTCATTTCCATTAACAGTGGCCTTAGTTAATGTTCTTTCTTTTCCAAGAAAAACTCCATTTGACAAGGAGCTCTAAAAACACTGAGGGATCTGGGAACAGTGCAGTAGATGATTACATGAGAATTAAACACTGATGATTCAGTGGGCAAGTTAGGCTATTGCAGCAGTAAAGAAAAGGACAAACATAAGAACACAACAAATAAAAAAAGATTAAAATCAGAATCATTATGTTATTTCAGAGGTCCGTCCTGGAAGCTGACTGTTTAAAAACTGTTTTAAAAAATCAGATACGGTCCAACTTTCAATGTCAATGCAGTGCCGAATAGGAGGATACACAGTAGATAAGCATACAGAAGGTGTTAAATCAGTGAATCAGTAAGGGCTTTCTTGGCCAAATTTTCACAACTTAAGCGCATGGCATGAAGCGCATGGAGCAGTGGCATTTGGGATGAGTCCAACTCCAATTTTGCTAGTTTAACATCAGAAAAAACGGTCAGTGTGCCAGGGACATGGTCCAAAAGGGCTGTACTTAGTCTGTGAATTATTCATGTCTTTTGGGCGTAACATGAGTGTCATCTCCCATTCCCTTTAAAAGCCAGGTGCTCTTATACCTTGGCGCATTGCTATTATAATAGCGGATGAATGGCGCATTATAAACACCATCAATTGACTCATTGAATTGCATACTCACAGCAGAGGGGGGGATATGGACTGTGGTGTGGATGTGATTATAAAAATAAATAATAGTGAAGTGTAATGTTTCTCTGCAGCTCTGTGGTTTATCAGTGAAGTGTCTGAACACTGCTGAGTGGATATTGTTAACATACAGACAGATGCTTTCAGTAATTTTAAAGGTTTCCATGATATTGTGGGGCATTACAGCAGCAAAATTAAAAACTGTAGTTATAAATGTGACATGACGGAACAAACTCAAAACAATGTGTTGGATGTGTAGAAGAACACAGAACATGATTTTTTGTTTGTTTGTTTTTGGCATAGACCGTATATAAAAAGGTTTTTGGTCAATTGCGCAATTGCTCTCTGCTGCCTCAAGATAGTAATGCGCCAATAAATTGCCTGGGTCCACCTACTTTTAAGACCAACACTCCCATGGGTGCACAAATGGACGCAAGTGCATTTGCTACTTAACCTCTTGGAAACACCTATTTCCAGGAAAAACGCCTAAAATAGGATACCCAAAATGAATCCGTAATAACTCCTCAACCATTAAGCCTAGATGCATAATTCTGGTCTCCTTTGAAAGGTCAGAAGCTAAGGAATATGAATGAACCTATTTATTGTTCTATTAAAGAGTAAATGGAGATGCAATAAAGGAAAATATGATATTTTCATCCTCGCTTGGTATATAATCTATATTTTAATAGCAATATCACCAGCAGTCACTCAGGTGCACTAGGTAACTGGGTAACAGTGTTAATATGCTCATGCAGTAGCCTGCCTTAATGCTACCTTTTCTGTTTTACATTTTTGCTGGAAACATTAAAGAAGCTTTACTGACATATAGTTTCCCCTCTGTTAGACTTGGATGTGCCCTTGGATCTAACTGTGACGGCTTCCACAGACAACACCATCACTCTGGTGTGGGGCGTGGTCCAGGGCCCCATCGACCATTACAAGATCACCTACACATCCTCCTCTGGCGTCACTAGTGAGGTAAAGAATCTGACAGATGAATGGATAATAGATACAACATGGCACATATAAATTGCCATGAAGGTGTATACTGTACACTCATCCCTACAAGGACCAACAAGGCTATGACCTTTTTATTATGAAGTAGTCTCCAGGTGTCTAGAGAATTGAATTTGTGCTTAACTATGTCTTCCTTTTCCAGCTGACAGTGCCTAAAGATGTAACCACCACCACTCTTACGGACCTTGAGCCTGGGACTGAGTACACCATCACTGTAGCAGCAAGAAGAGGAAGACAGCAGAGCACTGCAGCTACCATAGACGCCTTCACAGGTAGAGAGAATAGTCACATTTAAAATAATCAAACTGGTTAACAGTGTTGCTTATGTGCAGCATTATTGATGGCTGAATACCAGCCGTCCTCCCGTGTCTTTTCTCCAACAGCTCGATATAAACTTTTCTGGAGTATCAAGGTTGCGGTACAGCATCTGTTTAATCCACTCAATTATCAGACAGAACAAAGATAAATTCACTCCCGAGTATTTTCTCTGCTCAGATAAAGACATGAAAGATCAGCCTATTACTGCAGAAAGCTAGAGAACGATTTTAACAACAGTGTTGTATAATGAAGTCGAAAGGTGAATTTCATGAACTAAAGTGTAGCAGCAGGTAAGGTGAGTCACGCTGATAGAAAACGGAGGACCCTAAAAGACTTTGAAGAAGCAATTAGCAGAGGTAAATTATTCAAGTCAGCTAATGAGCTTGTTACAAGTGTTCCCTAATTGCGCCTCTGTTTTGCATCTAAATGCATTTGTGTTTCTGTTTCTTCTGATTCCTTTTCAACACCACATTGACTCAGTTTTGCTGTCACACTCGGTGCTTTCTGCTTTGCGCAGCTCTTCATCTCTCTCAGCTCATTGTTACCTCTTTCTCTGAGAATTTCAATCACAACAAAGTTTTCTTTTCTCCAGACTTCTGTCTTCTCGTCCAACAGCATGTCGGATTGCCTGTCAATCTACGCTGCACTGTTGGTTCTTTGTTATTTTTACAGAGAGCTTGATGTGATTTTCAGCTGCACAAAAGGACGGTGTCATAATGATGGGCATGCGCTTACCTGCTGTCAGTTTTGTCATTCTTTTCTTCACTCTTATCATCATCATATCTTCCTTCATTGTGACCGCCACGGCAGTTGTCACCATAACAATCATCATCGTCATCAGAGAAATCATCATCACATTCATCATCTTTTGTAATCTGTGGCTCCTTTTGTAACACCACTCTAACCATCTGGAGAGGAGAGATGAGAGAACGATTAAGTGACAGATCAGGAGAATCAGAGGAAAAATAATTAATAACCTGTCATCTTCTCATCCACCGTTCACTTGGCATATTGGTAACATCTGTCTGGCTGCACTCAGGTGAACTCATAGGGGGAAGAGAATCTGGTTAATAATCTAAAGTGTGATCTTGAACTATTTTCTAATATAAATCCCACGACTGCCTTCGGAGCAACACTATCTGTCCTTCAGTTTGTCTCTTGTCACAGAGTATGAACTTCCTGTAAGTAGGCATCTGCAAACCTCTCCTTATTTATTAATTATCATTGCAGTCCTGTTTTTGACACTACAGCACACTGAAGGATTCTTTCATCATTCATTCTTATTCTTTTGCAAAGTTTTTAATATATTCAGTAGGTATATTCAGTAGCCTAACAGCAGCAAGAGTGAGAAACCCCTTACATAAGGGGAAATACTTGTCAACAGTTTGGGGCTTCTGTGTCACATCCCGTCTATTAACATTATGTGAGTTATTGCAGTTTTGGAAGAGGCCGAGATATCCTGACTTTTAGTCCCTGCTATGGGGGGACCTCCAAAAATTACGTTTGCCATAATGTAACCAATAGCATAGTTGTAATTAGCACCGAATATTCGGAGACGCAAATATTCGGTGCTAATTACAGGCATTTGCAAACCCACCCACCATTGTCTCTCCAAATCCTGTGGTAAAAAGCACATTTTGACTATTTAATTTATGCAATGATTTAAAAAAAAAAAGGCTAAATAAATGGGGAAAAAAAGAGAAAGTTTTTCATTATATTCGGTTTTCGGCTTTGGCCAAGAATTTTCATTTCAGTGCATCCCTGGTTGTAATTAATGCGTAAATTGGAGAAGTTTGCCTTAAGGGCTTTCTGGCTTTCATTTTTCCTAAACCTAACCAAGTAGTTTTGGTGCCTAAGTCTAAAGTATTAAGCCTTTCTGTCAAAAATAAGCAATTAATGCAGCTTTATGTCCCCTTTTTTTCCCCTAACCCAAATTAAGATAACCCAGATAACATCATTAGGGTGTTTTTAGAAAGTTCCGACATAGCCACAGAAGGAATTGCACAGCTTTCTTCACAGGCCAAGTTACACTTCTCAACTGACCTTTATCTGTAAAAGTTCATCGACATGTTCTGTGCTATAAACAGGATGTCATTAAGACCTGTACAGGGTGGCCATCACATTACACTGACTCTCGCTCCTTCTTCTGCACTGTTTAATCCATAATTGAAGTAAAGCCATCATCTTTTCTCTTTAAAAGGTAAAGTTTGTGGAGTTTTTCACCACAATTTGTGCTATAGAGCCATGTTTGGTGTGTTATTTGTATCACATCTTCCATACAAGCACACACACACACCAGCAGTATGCGGTTCACGTGACAAATGTCTGCTGACTGCCCAAGGTGGTAATGCAGGTTGACAGTTGGTGAAGGAAGTGCGGCATAAAAGGTAGCCATTAACCAATGAAAGAGAAGAACATAAATGCAGGCAAGTGTAATCAATGTAGGTTTCAAATGGTGATTGATTACAAAGAAAAAGTCCACAGGATGTCTTTAATCTGGATAAATCAGAAAAGGAGAAGTCAGTGTTACGTTTTCACTGCTATTTATACATCCACACATGGCTAATTAAACTCAAATTGTCTTGCATTTGTTGCTGTGTCAGCTGCTACGCTGGTTTCATATTCATTACATCATCTCCGGTCCAGGGCATACATTTTGACAACAGCATCTGCTATCATCATCATTTCTCTTTTTTCTTATTGTGAACAGTCCAATCACATCTTCATCTTTATGGCGGATAATCTAATTAGTTTCTCATTTTTTTTATGACCAATTAAATCATTACTTCCACATGATTGTGATATGCTCTCACTCTCACCTTCCCCATCAAGAATACACCCAAGGCTAATTTTCTCAACTGTGTTATAAACGATCAATTATACCACCCAGGGCAGCTTCCATCCATCACTGAACCGCTTGTCTGTCGCTTGTCTGTCATCTCCATAACAGTGGCAGCTGGATTTTAATTATTTATTTATTTATTTTTCATCGGCGTTTCCTGCTTGTGGCCAGCTTTTTACTTGTCCTTGAAAGCTCTCCGGTGACCTTTAAACCCCCGTTCCTCCAGGAATCAGGCCCGTAACTCACCTCTACTTGTCAGAGGTGACTTCAGACTCTGTGTCGGTGGCCTGGAGTGCCCCAGCACCGCCTGCTGACCTCTTCATCTTGAGCTACAGCTCTGACGACGGGACCGACACCTCTAAGGTGACACTGGACGGCTCCAAGACAAGGTCACTGGTCCAGGGACTGCTGCCGTCCACTCCGTACACCATCAGCCTAATCACAATACAGGGGGATGTTACCTCTGAGGCCATTACGGCATCACTCACTACAGGTGAGATGCTTGATTTCATTGGAAAAGTGGTGTTAAAGGTGGGATGACACAGATGAGGACAGATAAACATGAGCAGCACCGTGAAGGTTTATGGCTTTGTATGCAAGCGGTAGTGATGCATCCTTACTTCATACTACTGTTTGTCCATGAATGGTCAGTGTGCCTGGATTTTTCTGTGCCAATGAAATTAACACAAGATAACATTTAAGGCTGTAACTAATGATAATTTATATTGATTAATCTGTAGATTAATCAATGATAGCTTTAAATTGCTTTTCTATATATTCACTTTACTATCGCATAAGACACAAGAAACAGCAGCAGATCCTCACACTTATGATGCTGCGACTTAATAATTAATTAATTATTGAAATAATTATTTCTTGGTAGATCAACTAACCGATTCACTGACTAATTGTTTCAGTGCTAATCATGTTCATCAAATTTATGAATGGGTTGCACTGTTTTGGGGGTTTAATGAGACCGGTGGCACTGGAATGTCCTTGAGTACCATTTAGGATTAAGGAGGGGAATAATAGACAGTAAGTATTTTTAGAAAGAAAAGTGGGGAAGTGAGAAAGGAAAAAGGAGGAAAAGCGTGTAAGAAATGGAAATTGTAATTTAAATATGTATTTACAAAAATGCTGTTTGAGCATTTCATTTGCACAGAACCACAGCAGAATGAGCTTTATAATTACAGATCTGCCTTGGGGGGAGGGGGTTATTTTCTTCTTCTTCTTTCTTTCATTTCCAAAAATACTAGCTTGTTTTATTCTTCTGTATAATGATCCAGTGTTTTTGCATGTTTATTCTAAACTCATACGTGGTCGTTGAAACTGCTGACAAATGGTTCTCTAATTAAGACAAGGACAGAGAGGAGAAAGGTGAGAGAGGTAGAGGGCAGGTGCAGTGTGTGGGCTAAAATTATAACTATAAAATTTAGTATAAGAGACGCCTGCTCATGCTTTGTACTCTGTTTCCTGTCTCTCTTTTTGAATCGATAATTTTTCTTATCGTCATGCCTTTTATCACTCCCGCTTATTCACATTTTCTCTGCTCCATTTGTTTTTGATTAAAATATTTTTCTTTCGACTGCTTCGCAGCGATCCTTCAAACCTTTCTCTTTCTTTGTTAATATATTATACAATATTACCATGTAATTTTTCATTAATTGGCTTATTATGAAAGGCGCTCTCAGAAACATTTTCTTTTGATTCCAAGTGTGTTATTCACATCTGGGAAGAGAATGAATGGGAAGGCGCAACCTTCCTGAGAGAGAGACAATGGGCAAGACAGAAATGAGGGAATAGGGGAATCATCAAAAGAGAAAATAAGAGGCGACTGAAGACAAATAGAGAAAAGGGGAATGTCAGCAATGAACAATAGAGATATTAACTTTGCATCAGTGCCAGAGACACCTGCATGCTGTCATCTGATTACCCTGCCAGTTTCATATAATACCTTGGCAGCTTCCAGCACTCACTCTTTACATTCACCGCCACATGATGATAAGCAGATTTTAAGGGTGAAATTGGATGGGGATTTTGAGACAGATGCACAGTATTTCTTGCACCTGTCTTTAGACTCCGGTAATTTCTGTGTCCTGCTTTGATCTCGCATGTCTGAATGTGAGCGCTGATAACAGACTGCACTGTGGCTTTCCTTGTATAATTAGGTGTGCTTTTAACTAGGACTTGCTACATCTAAAATGTCTCTGCCGCCCTATGTTTAAACCACAGTTATAGGAAGTAGGTGTTTTGGTTTATCAGACTAACAGTCGTTCTGCTGCTATGGTCAGTTAAAACAGTGCTTTAATGGAGCTCCGCCTGAGGGCCACATTCATGCATTAGCTTACACAGTGCAAATTGAATTGTGATCTTCCAGGCGGATAAAGTCAGTAGCAGTAAATATGTCTGACAGAACCACTGTTTAACTGTTCCCATTCAGACCCTTAGAAAATAAAAATTTTCAGCCGTTATTCTTGAGTACCACCTTTGCCAAAGCAAACATACGTTACTGAGATATGCATGCATGAATAATCACAAACTTATATAAATGCTACTACTGTATGTCACACAAGTGAAATTTAAATAAGTATAAGGCCAGGAGTTATAAATTGCCCCCTGTGCTTGTGAATAATAGCCATTATTCTTTTCAAAGCAGGAAAGAGGTAGTGGAGAGGTTGGTTTACAAGTGCTGCCCCTTTCGCCCTTTGTCCACACCAAGAGATGGATGTCATCTCTTAATCTCCTCCTGTTCTATTTTGTCTTTTTTCTATCCCCCCTCTCTGACTTTCTTTATCCCTCCATTTCTTTTTCTTGTAGCTAAGGACCTTTCATCAGTTTAATTGCCGCCTCACATTGTTTTCGCCATAACCTTTTCCATGGCAGCCTGATAGTCTCAGGAGACACATAAGACATTGTCAGCGGGGGGGGGGTTCCTTTGAGTAAGCCCTGCTCCGTCTCAATGCTAATTCTACCCACCATTGTGTTGTTTTAGCTGGATGAAGCTAGATTTCTCTTGCAATATCTTTTGATGGTTATTTATGTTACAAATTTGCATAAAAAATGCTTCCTCAGACTACGGACAGGTCTGTTTATGGAAATGAAATGAAGAAATGGACAAAGCATGGATTAATATAAATGCTTCGGCTTTCAAGGGCACTGATTCTTTTAAATTTTTATGTAAATTCGTGAACTTGCTTTATAACATACCACACAATGCGCTTCTGTTGTGCTTCTGGGATCAGAAGAAACTCATCACCCATGATCTTTGGCCTCTCATGTTGCCCACTGTGGACCATTTTTGATCCCATGCTAACACTCCCCCACCCATCATCTCTCTTTTAGGTATGGACCCACCAAAAGAGATGGCGGTGTCGGATGTGACCGAAGACGCAGTGACTATCTCTTGGATCAAACCACTGGCTCCGTTTGAATACTATAAGCTGTCCTACCAGTCAGCCAGAGGTAGCATATTCTTTACATACTGTAACATCTGTCTCCATTGCATTATAATAATGTGGTATTTATTATCTGAGCATATATGCCAGCTCACTGCATTTTAATGTTACAGTTAAATGAACATGGCATTTGGTGTAGCAGTCTTTCTAATGTAAGATATTTTGTAGCAGGGAACCTTGATACACACCCTGTCATATCTAATTAATTCTAACATTTTATCAGGGAAAGTTTATTGAATTTTTAATTAAAAATGTACTCTGCGATGCAAAACACACAGCAGTTGCGTAAGCGGTATACCCTGTACATAAAGAAACATAAGCTCAAGAGTGATGGCAGCAGTTCTGATGTTGGTCTCTCTCTGATTTCTCCTGCAGGTCGAGTGGACAGCGTGGTGATTGACAGCGATGTCACCAACTACACCTTGTCCAGTCTGTTTCCTGCGACAGAATACGAGATCAGCCTCAACGCTGTCAGAGGGAGTCAGGAGAGCAAAGTTGTCACCACCTCTGTATTCACAGGTAGGATAAATTGATATGGAAACATAATTAGGACCATGTAGAGTAGAAGAGAAGCAAATAGAACAAACATGCGAGCAAACAAACTACAACTTCAGTAGCCGGATAATCAGGGGGTGGTCACTTTGTTTTGTTTTGCCCTAACCAGTTAGTAGCAAGGTATCAATTATTAGTCAGTGTGAAAGCTTCAGTAGCAGTGACTCAGAGCAGTTAACATTTATGATCTTTCACTAAGATGGAAGAAGTGTCAGCTCAACGGTTAATATTTCTGTACGTTGACTTTCAACAACTGCGACCATGTCGTTCACACTCGTTTTTCTGTTGCTATTTGTCACGAATGAATGAAGGAATTGCTGAACAAATCGGAGGTGTGGTTGGCGGTTTTAGGGGTCTGGACCAGACTGCACAGCGCAGTGAGAGAAAAACAAAGTCCTGTCTCAGATCTCTTCTTGGGCCCTTTGTCATGTGGGCTGAAGCAGGTTAGAGGAGAACATGCTTTGATTAGAAAAGCACCTCTGTATCGGCAGTAGTTCAATGTGGGAGGCTTCCTACTTCCAGGGTTTCTTGGCTTGTTATAACAACCACTGCAAAGCAATTGCACCCATTGTATGCACACTGTATTGCATTGTACAGAGAGCAATTTCTGTTCTTTAGTCTGCCCTTGCAGATATAAATGGGGTGGAGCAAATAATAGAAACACCTGTAAGTATAACGCAAAACAGTTCGGCAGCACCGCAGTCTGCAGCCTCCAAAATTACAATGAAGTTGAACCAACACCTCTCTAAAACAGTTTCAACAAAAAACATTATAACCTTCATAAAGGTTATACATCATACAAAATCAAAGGGTACAGCTGACATCGCAGGAGGTGCAATAGATGAAACTTATCCACTCCATGACCCAGTAATTAGTAACCTAGTCCCAACTCCATCTCACTCTCCTCTATCTCTCTGCTTCCCTCCCTTGCTTACCCTCTTTGTTCTTTTGCCTCACCTGTATCCTTCTCCTCTCTCGCTCTCTCCTCTATCCTCCATCTTTCTGTCCTCTCTGTATTTCCTCTCTGCTTCATCCTTTGCCTGCTTCTTTCTTTAATCTTCTCTCTCAGCGTCTCCCTATTTCTTCCCGATTCATCATTACAGGTGAGAACCCTCAAGCGATCTTGCTTTCAGGCTCTTTTAACAGCACTGGATCACAAGTTAGAAAAACATAAAACTCACTTACTCACACAAACACACGCATGCATATAAATATGGGACACGGCTCTTCTTTTCACGGCTAACGTAAGATTAACACACTCTCCCACTCTCTATATGCATAATCTTCAGTGTGCAAGAGAGGATAGGAGAGAGAAGAGGAGAGCAGAAGATGTGTTTGCATGCCAATGAGTCCTGATTCACCAGGAGCCGCCAGGTTCAAGAATCCAGCGGGGGGGGGGAAGCTAAAAGACCCTTTTTCACTCGCTTTCTCATCTCTGTCTTGCTCTTCCCCTCCAATTCTTTATTATCAGCTCCCCTTTTAACAATCCCAGTGCACTTACAATGAGCAGAGCCGTTGGGGCTGTAATAGCCTGAAAAGAACATAACTCCAAAGTCAAGCTTGTTAGAAATGGTAAATAACATTTTCCTCACATCGCACAATGCCCAACCAGGGACATTTTAATGCCGCTTTCAACAACAATACATAAACAGGGGATTTGGAAGAGTAATCCAGCATAGCCTGGCCAAGTATGTAATGACTTGAATAACGCCACAATTGCTACTTACTTCACTTCCACAATCAATTGTTGTCAGAGGGGATAAAGAAGCAGGGAGCCATAATTCATTTTGCTAACACAGCAGGTACTGCAAATCTAAGATGAATTTTGGAGGGTTGACACTAAATGGACTATGTGAAGGCCCGTTTAATGGAGGGCTAATAACGCTGCTCATTAGCCCCCCATCCCCTGTCCCTACCTGTCAAATCTTTTCTACCAGCTAGCTAAAGAGGTGATAGATGATGTATTTTAAACAGATGCTTTCTAAAAAATATTATCCCACAAAATCCAAATTTCCACAAACCAACACGGATAAAGTATAAATTAAAATAAACAGATGGCCAAAGGACATGTTTCCAAGCAGAGTGATTGGCAAAAGAAGAGATCCAAAATAGAGGGTGTAAGTAAGAGAGAATAATGTAAGAGAGTCCACATATAAACGGATCTACAGCCAAAAAGAGAAAAAAGGGAGAGAAAAAGAGAGACCATGGTTTTGATCTTTGAAAGTCTTTTTCTTCTTGTCAGACAACATCAAGGCTTGTTAGGCTGGACTCATCTTTGATATGTAGCAGCCTGCAGTTATCAGGTTAGCGCTCCTTTGGCCCCGCTACATGTGTCACAGCCTCTACTTGAGTTCTGCAAGAGGCCGCTTACATTATGATCAATTAAAGGTGAAACACCGGTGTTTTGAACCAAATGCTCTTATTTTTCGCTAACACCTAAAAACAAAGGTACAGAAAAATAGTAGTTACTAACAGGTGAGGAGCAAACTTGCCAGATATTACATAACTAACAAGTATTTACTGAATTACACTAAATTAAGGATTACAATAACGCAGAGCTGTGGTGGAGCACACTCTCAAGAAACACATTTTAATCTCACACTTAAGAGCAGAGTGTTATGTTAATGTTAATGATTACTTCCTGTGAATCTACATAATAGCCCTTTACTTAATGGATCCTTTAGGTCCATGTGCTTAATGACACATCACCGATAACTAATCATTACCTACTGATCAGGTGTAATGACTGGTCATGTCTCACTTTTCCAATGACTGTACTACCAATTATGTTTACCTACACATATGTTCACACTACAGTCTATGGTTCACATTTAAGATCAGCATTGAAACGTGTCCCTGTAGCTTTATGGCAGCGCAGCTCACATGCAGCATAAAAGCAGCTGGCGCATAGCTGCCCCCCCCCCCCCCCCCCCCACTGAGTATGAGCACTGTGCCACAAACACATCCAGTGTAGCTGTGGGGTTAAATACTCACACCCAGATAACCTGCTTTTTTTGTACTGTGAGGCAGTGCAGTTTCCACAGTAATGGGAGGGGATGCAGAGATAGACTGGGGTGTAAAATGGCCCGGTGTGTCTTATTAACTGTACTGTCTGCTGCAGTCTGGTCTACATAATGGCTACCGACACAGCACAAAGCAGACTGACCTCCTAGCCAAACATCCCAGTTGGGGGATCCCTACAAATACCATATTCAGCAAAGCACAAATAGTCAGTTTGAAGATGAATTTGGGAGTTTTTTTCAGATGTATATTTCAGACTTTAAAGAGCATATCATCAAGCTTGAATTAAACTCATTTACCTGGAGAAACCTTAACTGTTAGCTAAGCATTAACAGGTTTTGCAAGCGTGTCGATTTTGAAATGTGGCAATAACCTTCCTGTGCTTACGTTTCTCCCATAAAATCAAGGGAAGAATAAAAAGCTGTTATATATTTCCAGCTCGATATGTTGTACCTTGTTAGCAGTGGAGCACTGACAGACGGCTAAAGCTAGCCAGAATCATAGTCAGAATCACTCAGTTATACTTTTAAGATGATCATGTCAATACATGTACTTTGCTTTCATCAGGATCTTTGGACATTCAAACCTGAACAGCAGCTTCTTCTGTCATTCTGTGAAGCTAATGTTTGCTAACGTTTGAGAGCTACAGTAAATTGGTCAACAAAAAGGTGTTGTTGATCACTCTGTTGATGTGATTTAATGTAATTATTAATTATTTTATTATGTTCTTCTGTTTAGAGCAATCAAAAAAGTAAACAAAGTTTTATCTAAAAGAATGTCATTTTAATATTATTTGTAGTATTCACTTAGTGTACAGTGTTCTTTATTGGCCCCCTTCAGCAGTTACCCTGTAGAAAAGTATGACTCAGCCCATTTGACCCCCTCAATCTTTGCATGCATGCTTTGTGTTATTGACACCAGGTTTTGTTATTTTGCTCTGTAGTTATTGTTCTGTGGAAACAGCAGGTTATTACTGGAAGAGGAAGCCAAATTCACGCGATCACTATCTGGATGTCCAGGCTTTCCTGTGTGTCTGGATAGATTTTGGCAATATAGCATGTTAATGCAGTGCTTTTTGGCAGCTGACACTCAGGGATTAATTGTGTGTAGCTTTTTATCAGCCCCGTTCTATAGTCCCTGAACAGCCTTTGTTTCTTTTTTTTCAAAACCCTTTCTCTCCTTCTGAATCCAAGCATGATCTTAAGCGTTGGGGTTTGACTTTCAGATACAGATCCGAGTGCAAGCGTGACGTAGTTGGCTCAAGCCAGTGATTCACAGTGCAATCACGAGATGGAGAGTGATGATTGGATTATCACTGGGCCTGATAAAGGAGGATGACCTGTTTATTTTTTTTTATTTTTTGGCCATCTCTACTCCATCTCCATTGCCACTCTAATTGACTTGGCAAGCCTCCATTAAATTCACTTAAACCCTTTTGCAATTAAAGTAATGATTTTAATCAGGTTTGTTCATCTATTGCAGCGATAAGAAAGACTCACTTTGGATAATGAGCGTGATTTTTTTTTTTTTTTATTCAGATGAGGGCAGGGCAATATTAATTACCTCATCTGGGCAGAGCATTGGAACACATGCGGTGCTCTGTGTTCTCCTGCCACGCTCTCTGCCGTGCCAAAATAACACGCTTGAGGAGAAATTGGGGTTGAAACACTGAGGTTAAAGGTATAATTAAATTCAAACTCAATTTTGGCATGTCCAGTAGTCTGAGAATGAAATTAGGAAGAGTGTGGGGAAACAGTTGGCTCAGGAGAATATCTGAGACTTTCTACAGCCTTTTTGACTGCATAATTTCTCTTTGATGTGTGTTAGGACTGAGGAAACAGTGATCTAAATGGCAAATAGAGTCATTATTAATCAGTATGAATGAGTTTCTATAATTATAACTCATGTGGGTTGAATAATCATTTTCCATTTGAATAGTACTCTATTCAGAAATGTTTAGGTGTAATTGATATTTTACATCTCTACAATTGTACCATAATCCATTGTGTACAAAATGACAACCTCTTTGCATATCAATGACAGACCTCCATAGTTTGTGTACAAATTCATGGTGGAGAAGATTTCCTAATACCTGGAAATGAGACAAAAAGATATTGTTAAGAAGAATTGTGGGTGTGGGGGGTTATTTTACTTTTGCTGGACCTAGTGTGTGTCCTGCAGTGAGCACACCTTAGTAGTTCCAGTATGTAATCCATAGCTGTTGTTTTAGCCGGATGATACTTATACTTGTGATGATACTCAGAAATGTCCTGAAAACTCATCTCTCATTATTGTTGTTTTCTGTCAATACAATGGGCTTATATTCTTGTTCTGCTGTAATCCTAGCGATGGACATGCCTTCAGAGTTGACGGCTCTGAACATCACTCCACAAGGAGCCCTGCTGAGGTGGAATCCCCCTCTTTCCAATGTCGACAACTTTGTGCTGACCCTCACACACAACCAGGGTGAGTTGTCAAAACTGCCATGTAGAGGCTTTTATCAATTTGCTGTTTATTGGAAAATGAATGGATGGATTGAGTAAAAGCTACCAAAAGGACAAGAATACGACTAATTAAGGCATAAAATCATCAACGCCCTTTGACTACTGAGATGTCAGGTGACGACTACACAGCTGCAAGTACTCATCATTACCATAGTGTTTTCCATACATTGGCTACCAATTCATTTTACAGGAACCCACATTTTTACACATTTATTGATGCTGTCGTCTTTATTTGTGTCATGTTTGTGTTTCATGAAGTCCTTTGTAACCTTGGTTATGCAAGGCACCATTTAAGTAAATATTTACTTTCCAAACATGTTATTGAGAACACCTCTCCACCAATTCTTCACAATTAAAATGATGGAAATCTTACAGAGTCATGGCACTGACTGCAATAGGATCTGCCTGCAGAGTTAGAGCATAATGAGCAGATTTATTTTAGGTCATTCGGGTGCAGCGTTTGGAGATGTGACAGTTACCATTAAGGTTTTCAGTGTGATCCTTCAAGACAATATGGACCCATTTGTCTTGCTTTCAGAATAGTTCCTTATGCTTGGTTGAACTACTAAGCCTACAAATACTTCAGTTTTAACACAGCATACGTTTTTGATGCAACCCATGGCTTCCCTGTCTGACATATTTCCCTGCCATATCCAGTTAAAGATAGCCATATTGCTTGGCCCCTCAGTCAGTTTATAATTTGCTCTCTGAACCAAGTGGATGAGTGCCAAGTTACAGTAGGAGGGCCAGCCACTACTTGACATACACAGCTAGAGTGCTGAAATATTAAAGTATAAAAAGTTTCAAAGGAATCATATTTTTCAAACAAATGTTGCTCTGTGTAGGCAGTCATTAGCTTTTGAAAAGATACATTTTAAACCCACCAGTCAAATGTTTAACAACCGCTATTTTCTTTCCCTGACTTTAATAAACTGGCTTGAGGAAATTTTATGGGAAGCATATTCCTCATTTGCACACTGACTAAGCCATGCCTGGAGTTACCCAGAGAAATCTGTATTACTCAGCTCCTGGAGTCAATGTGTAAATTACGCCTTGACTGACTGGACGGCAGCCAAATCATCTCAGATACAGAGACAGTATCTATATGCAGGACTCAGATTTGGAAACCAGCCCCCGGCCAGGGTTTAGAGAAGTGCAATGTCAGTTGTGGACAAATTCCCTTGAGTGTCAGTGTATTAAATCAAGGTCAATAAATTTCATATTTCATCAAGTACTGTCCTGCATTACAAAATAGATTTTATGGCAACCCAGGAACACCCACATAAAATCCAAGTTATCATGGTATCAGTCAGTCAGACGTCATATAAAATAGATTAATAGTGCAACATGGAAAAAAATAAATATGGTTTGTCCATAATTCTCACTAGCATCACTGTCAAATTTTCAAATATGTCACTGAAAGGACAGGTGGCAAGTCAAAAATAATCCAGTCTAAGAGGAATATTGGCAAGTTGATGCAGCTCTCATCATTGTTACAAAAAATTGAAACTCTTAAAGCTACACGATCCTGAGCCATTGACATCACAGGAGTTGTATTACACGTCTTTTATAGCCAATTTGAGCCATGTTAGGGCTGCACCTTACCATTATTTTTTGATTTGTCGATTAATTGAAAGATTTATCATTTATATTATTAGTAATCAACTAATAGCCTATAACATTTTATTTTATTTTCTCCAAAATAAATATCAAAAACTTCTCTTTAAACGTCTCATTAAAATGTCAATATGTTATTCAATCATCCTGAAAACGAGACACATAAAACCCTTAGAAGAATAAAATAGTGGTGTATTTTAAAATTGTACTTGACTTAAAATATTAAAATTATGACATGGATTTATTTAATCTCTGGAGTAATATGCAGTAAGATAATAAGTCTGGGCAAGCAAAATACTAATGTTACTGTAACAACAGTCTTATCTCACTCATACCTGCCCGTTACATGAGATGACGCATTGGTGTAACATTACGTTACCATGACAGCAGCGATGCAGAAATTACTTTTAACATCGGGCGATGAAGAAACATTTAGAAAATCAATTTTAAGTGACAAATACTAACAGAAACAGGTTCCTCTTGTTGATAATCCTAATATATCGTGCTTGTGTGGGGACAAAAAGGAAACAGGATTTATGGTGCTGTTTTGCCGCCGCTGCCATCCTGACAAAGCACTCTGGGATGATTGCGCTTTAAGTGTTCGTGCGCAGCTGTGATAAGCCATTTCCAATTTGCAGAACTTAAAGAGCACCACATCATTGGGTTTCTGTCTAAAATACTCCCAAACTTTAGTTGATCTTACACATTGGCAAGGTTTTTTTTGTTCTCAGGGAGAACCTTTGCTTTGACCGGGCAAAGCACCTCACTGCGATGCAAGGACGCACGTTTTGCGTATCGAAGTATTTCTGTAATCTGTGATGTCGATTACGTTGATGAGTCACTCCAGTCCTAGCTCATGTTACACAATTATTTTCTTCATCAGTAATTTTTCACAGTAAATTCAGGAACAGCTTCTTATGAGTGAAAATGCAGATTGGTAATTGAATGGTAATTTATTCGTATTCACCCTCTTTAAATGGGCTAGACAGATAAATTTGTCATGAAAATACCTTCAAATGATTCTTAGAATATGAACTGAGATAAGATCAATGATGAAGAATGCTGTCTCTGTGTTTCGGGTATATTAATATTCATTCATATCTTGGAGCAAAAGAAATTAATGGTGTGGCTCATGTTTGCAGAGTTGTCCCCAAAAGCATATTTTATGTCCCTTAAAGCAAAATGAGTGTAGATATATCCTTCAGTGCAGGCTTTGAGATTCAAATCTGCCATTTTCCCCATGCTGAGGTGCATTTTTCAAAGAGAGGCAATTTAATGTATCTATTTAGACAAAACTAAAAGCAGAAGATGTATGAGATGGTGTAAATGTACTAAACATATACATATGTGTGTTTTACTTCTGTTTTGTAGTGACGGCTGATACTTTCCTTGTGGAAGGCAACAAGCAGGAGCACCAGCTGTCAAACCTTAAGCCAAGCACCACCTACTCTGTGGCCCTCTATGCCACCAAAGGACCCCTCACCAGCGGCACCGTCATCACTAACCTTCAAACACGTATGTGCTCATTTTATTCAGCGAGTTTCTGTACAGTAGGCAGCACAGTGACTCTGGTTAGCAGAAGGGTTTCCTCCAGGTGCTCGGTTTAATTCACACCAAAGATATGCATGTTATTTAGGAATTCTCCTGCCATTGACCAATCATTTCTCCCAGGGGATTAATTAACACAAACAACAGTAGTATGTCATACAACAAAAAAACACAACCAGTGCTTGTGTACCATACAAGTTCAGCATCAACACCATTAATGAAGTTAAAGTGGTCATATTATGGTCATTTTCAGGTTCACAGGTTTACATGGTTTCATTTTCAAAAAACACCCCAAATTTTTTTGTCATACTGCACATTGCTGCAACTCCTCTTTCCACCCTGTGTGTTGAACACTCCGTTTTAGCTATGGAGTGATACATCTCACCTCTACAAGATCTTTGTTGGGAGTTGCATATGCGCAGTACCAAGTTAAGGACTACTAGCCAATCACAAGCAGAGTAGGGCGGGTCCTGAAAAGCCGGTAAACACGGCTTCGGTTCAGCTGTACTGGTTCCCCTTACCAGTTTAGCAACATGGACTGAAGGAGTTTCAGAGTGGTGATTATTAATTTGTAACACATGTATCTTTCATCCATAAAGTTATAACTGTGCACTGTCTCTACATCACAGTAACAACTTTATATCCATTGACTGCCTGGAGGGTATCTAATGTTTGGAAGGGAGACGAGAGCTACAGGCGGACATCTTGTGACTGTGTGCTGCAGCTCAGAGTGTTTTTCCATCAGTGTTTTTGAGGGCGTGCCGGACTAGCCACTTGGCAAGCATTATGACGCGCGTTTTCTTGTTACGTCACAGCAAAGCGGAAGAAAAGGCTGGACAACAAACGAGCTGTTTTCAGACAGTTCCAGTATTTTCTGTGGGAGATGGGAACTCCCTTTGGGCTTTTTCCCTTTGCAAACCTATTACACGCACAAAAAACGGTATATAACTCATCAAGGAGAGGGAAAAAGCCTAAAAGCATAATATGACAGTTAATTGGATGGATGAATAGATGGATTTATGGATGGATGTAGAGCTGGGGATTTGTTGTCATGTCAGTCAGTATATATTGTCACAGTCACATGGTTGTCATTTTCCCTATTGATTCGTTGCCAAACATCAAGAAGGTGGGTGTAAACTAATATGAACAGGAGACAAATGACAGAAGAAGGAATGAAACAGAAAGAAAGGCTGACGTGCTGTAGAATGGCGAGTAACTCCTTTGCTGAAACCCTGATGGACAATGAATAATATCCCTCATGCCTCAAGTGATGTGATTTAGTTTTTGCCTGCGTTTATATATTAACCTAAATCACCTGAAAATAAGTCGCGCATGGTGATGCTCCAGAAGATGCTGGGCCGGTAGAGCAGCTGGTATAGTAGGTGGTATTGTCTTAGTGTTAATTAATTTGCCTAGATATAACAACACATCAGTTCCAAGTACAAACTGTGGCCGTGACAATATCACAGTGGACATTAAATCACTATTTCTTGATTAGATTCAGAGGTGCGGGGGTGTTTATCTGAGCCTCGCTGCTCGTTTCAAGGAACGGGTCTAATTGCTGGTGTTTCAGAGTCTGCACTGCAGGCTTTAATGGATGCTGATGTTTCAGGTGAAAAACACAGTTTGTGGTGTTTCCTGCTTAGTCAACAGTATACTGTACATGATCCTTTTTTTGTGTGTCAGTAAGTAGCCAGTAGCCCGTTTGTTACTTAAAGCCTTGTTTGGCCATGAAGTGGATGAAACAGTAACAAAGTATCGCAACACCACCCACGTCTTGCTAGCTCGTTGAATCACAGCAGCTCTTCATCCTTAAGGGGTTCACTTTAAAGTCTCGTCTGAAGGACTCTTTATCTAACTGTCCAACTTTTGATACCAAAACAGAAGCACATGGCTTGTTTTGTTAATTCAACCAACCCTGTTGTGGCTAGTTGGGAAGAGGGATGTCCGTTTTTATAAGAATGACATAATTGTTTAGAAATAGCTTCACATCTGTGATGTAATTTGTTTTTAGTATGTTGTTGAGCAATGTCAGTTATCAACAGTTTATTGAATTGAGTTTCTAATCTTATCATCGGATATCGTCTATGACAATCAATGTTTAGTATACCGTTTATATTGGCGAGCCTTAGATGGATGTTTGCACTAGAAAAATTACAAGAAAAGGTGATACAGTATTATTCTGAGGCATTTTACAGTACAACTTATTGAGCTTTTCCTACACTGTGTGCACTTAACTTACGTAATCTTTGATCCTTTATCTCTGTGCAACACATGTTGCAAAGTCACATATGCCACAGAGGTCAGTATCTTGCTAGATTAAAATTGCAAACTCTGTTTAACTTTTGCCTGCTTCACCTCAAGGTGACCCACCTCTTTAATTATATTCACCTTCACCTGCTGCTCCATTGCCAGGAAAGTTTGGGGTGAAGGAATTGTTTCAGTTTAGCTGAGTTGCAGCTCTGTAAACTTAGTTTTTTCTACAGTCCTTGCAGGGAAAAAAAACAAAACTTTTCAGTCAGCAGAAGAGTTCAAATCCCCCAAGGAGTACCAGGACTACCTGTCCTGCACTGCTCAAAACAGAAAAAAACTCTAGGTTGCAGACACTTCAAAACATAAATGGGGCTCAGGAAAATTAGTTGTACCTGCAACCATGTCAATGCTGTACATGCATATAGTAACTCATACATAAACAAATGTTCTTGGCAGTTTAAGGTGATTCTAATTTGGAAACCGATGCTCTGCCTAGTACGTCATGTACCTGAGTTCCTTCAGAGAACGGAGAAAAAAAATCAAAAACATGCATTTCTACCCTGGTAAGACTCTCTCATATAAAAGAAGGAATTTGAGAAATTGCTGTGATGTAGGCAACATCATGGAGTGAGCAAAGAGAACAAGGATTTTGTTTTGTTTTGAATACCATGTCTTATTGAATCAAGCTAATGGTTGGGTGCTTGCCATTGTTGCTCTCCTCCTCTGAATGGAATAGACTAAATGTATTCCTGCCATGATCAAATCCTTCCATGCAAGAGAAGGGACATCTGCAGGAACTTTTATACCAGTATTATTAAGATATATCCTGCAATTACAGAACACGTGTATACTTATTAGCTCAGCTGAAACCTGTGATGCAGTTATTAATCAACACTTGCATCTTTGCCTTTTTCTGTTTTCTATTATGTATATTTATGTTGTCCTGGAAAAAAGCCTTCAAATAGGACAACATTCATACTTTACAGTTGAATTCAATAATGTGGCTCTTAAAAGCTTTACCTCATTTCACTAAGGAACAAACAATTCAATAAAAGGACAATGAGAGACAATCCTTGAGTTTAATCAAGGGCTACCCTTGAGCAAATATCAAATGTATCGTCTCTATTGTGTAAGACTTGCTGGACAGTAATTTGTATTTAAAAATCTCACAACACGTGTCTGCTTCCCAGTACACGCATACTATACTCTGTAGGCAGTATGTGTATTATGTGTGTCCCATGTAAGTACATGTGCACAAAAAAAACACCTGGAAAAAGTCTGACTAATGATGACATGTCAAACCAGGGGGCTCCTTAGTTAACTCCAACTTCAGAGGGATCTTCCCTTGTTGTTAATTAAACTTCCTAATTGAAATCTTAAAGCCTGTTCCAGTTGTGCTCACACAGCTTGTTTTCCCTGGCTGTTCCGCTCCAGTGGAAAATGTCACATTGTGAGATGGGCTGTGAGAGAGGACAAGACCATTGATTGGTTTGATCGTCTGCTGCTCTGCTCCTATCGGCCTCTCACTCTTTGAATCTTAGTTTGCTGCCCTGTCTGTCTGCGTAGCCATGGAATTAAGAAGTCCTGTTCATAGATGCATTCATCGACAGTATAAATGCATCTTTATAGGGAAATGACAGCAGCTAAGTGCCTGTGCCTCGAAATGTGTGTATCCATCTTAACCAATAGTCAAGTCAGTGCATTTATTTATAGAGCTCAGGTGTTTATCAAAATGCTATGCAGAGAAATTTCAAATGCAATAAAACAATTAAAATGAAAATAAATGGGTAAATAACTCCAGACAAAAGAACGACAATAATAATAATTAAAGCGGCCACTTAATAATTTAGGGAACTCAAACGCAGTTGTATAAAGATGGGTCTTAAGGCGGGATTTGAAAATTGTCATGATTTACTGATATAGTGGAAAACACATCACTTCATCATTATGATCATACACTCCCATTTAAGGTCTGTGGTTTGCATATAGAATATGCCATCTGAATTGGGGAGGGGGATTTTACAACTGCTGAATGAGCTTTTCAGCTCTCCCAGTTGAAACTAATAGTGAGTTGTTGAAAGACAAAAATATTCTGCAGAGCAAGTGAGGCTGAATCAACAAAACATACAACAGCATAGCCAGTCTTACCCACCCTCCTTGTCCCCCCAACATAAACCAACTTTCTTAGAAGGCTGTTACTCCAGTTTCTCACCCAGCATGATAACTGAATGTCATCATGTAGTGGAAAATGTCTCCATATGCATTTGTGTGCAGTTTTCTAACACTGCATTTGTTTCTACATCTCCATTTGTCGTTCATAGTTTCTTAACGAACTGAAGGATGATATCTGGAAAAGTTTTTTCTGGTCCATGGATTGTACAGCACCTGTGCAAATGTAAAGGCGCAATGTACAAGAGGTGAAGGGTCAGTGGAAGTACTCGCTGTCAGGTTTTGACTTTTCTTACTTGTTTTAAGGAATGATGGTTTCTCCACATGCATGCTGAACACAGCACAGAGAGGAGGAGAAAAGGGGAAGAGTCTGGCTCATATCAAAATGTGGCCACGACTGCAGCAGATATTCAGTTCGAGTATTTTTTTATTTTTGGGGGGAGGGGCGGAGTTTCTTTGTTGATTCCCAAGCCTCTTAACCACAGCTGAGAGTTGTTTTGTTGTCTAGCCTCCATGCCTCAAGAGTTCAACACAGAGTAAGACAG